ACATAAACACTATCTACAAAAAATATCTATGCGTAACTGCATGCAAAATATGTCTCTCGGCTTCTTCTAAAGAATACTTGATTGGTTCCTTCAAAGGAAACATCCTTGATTTGAGTAGGTTCATTCATTATACATTTATGAAACAGCAGAATTTTTGTTTTCATTTCAATATAACTGGAAGGATTTTCACAATAATTATCGTGGAAAATATTGCAACTGGAGGATCTAATCACTAAACTGTTATTAAAGATCTGTATTTCGTAAAAATTTTCCCCCATTTAAATTCATGACTCATACCGGGTGACGCGGGATTTACCCCTCCGTATCTTTGTTGCTATTCTGAATAGATGTTTCAAATTTGGTACATATAGATTTGATTGCAAGAGTGTATGATTTTGAGATTATCAGACGAAATATGACACTTGTGAATTCAATTTTTTTATTTGAAATGAAAAGTATAATTTTTTTGGATATCACGATTCAGTACAAAATTACTTTTCTAACGATATACCACAATCATATTTTCAATCAACAATCTAGTCATATAATAAAGATTTTACAAAAAAATACTTTGTGTATTCTCCTCGGTACGGAATATTTTCATGAAAGTGTGCTATGGATAATGAAACAGTAGCATGTGATTAACAATAATTCGATGTCAAAATTCTTACACAATAATTTTAATGCACACAATATTTTATACAATTTTAGTTTTTCTTTATTTTTCAACAACAATTAACTCATTTATTTTAAATGCAATCATAGAATTTTTTTAAGTTGGTTAAAAACTCCCATACGTATTGAAATACCACACAGCAAAAAAAATTAAATTTCCTGTTTCCCATTCAGTTTTAATAAAGATAATCTCCATTCTCCAATCTACTCACATTGTATTGAGCTTGTCAACTTCATATTATGATATTGGGTTTTTTCATGGGTTAGGAATTATTATTGAAACTACAGAATCTGACGCAACAAAATATACGATTTGAGAATCACTATCACAACACAATCGACTTTGAAAACAACAAATTATTGCCCGCCGAATATTCCTAGGACATTGACAAATGCCTCATAATTTTATGGCAAACTCAAGCTCGTTGCTTTCGATTGTCATACTATTACCTCGTCGATTATCAATGTCCTAGAGACATTACTACTAATGATTTTTCAACAAGTTACGTGGGTAATTTTTTTGAAATCTCAATTATATGAGTATAGATTGTAGATTAAAAGAATGATTGTGATATATCGTAGGAAAGGTAACTTTATACTGAATTGTAGCTCCAAGAAAAAATTATACTTTGTATTTGAAATAAAAAAAATAATTAACTTCCGTTCAAACCGGAAGTATCATATTTGGTCTGATGCTAGTGAAATTCGAAAGATTTTACACAATAGCAACGAAGATACAGGGAGGTAAGTTGGTTCCGGCGAGTCAACCGGTATATTGAGAATGCATATTTTTGGAAACATATTCGAAGAATCATTGTTGGAGAATTCATCAGGCTCTTTCTCAAGAGATAAATCTTTCACATCACTGATTGTTTCTTTGTGTGAGTTCTAAATCAATTCCGTTTGCGTTTCATTGAAAATCTAGAGAATCGATCAATAATTCTTTAGGGATAAACTCAAGCGAGACCGTGGTTTTCAACAAAATCATTGTTTTATTAAAATAACGTTAATTTTCGAAAACCACCACCTACCATTCATCATCAATAATATTATTATTATTAGTATTATGAAGTGTTGGTGTAGCCATTGGTGGTGACAGTAGTGGGATTGTAGGAGTCTATTATTGAACAATAAACCTAAAATGTATTGAAAGTAACCTAGAATATCTAAATAGCCTCAACCGATCGTTGCGTATCAGTATTTTCTTCTAATTCCTTCGTAAGTTAACAGCAAAATTGATATTTCATTTATCTTTCGATTAAAAATAAAATACAGTATATTAATGGATATAAAGATTGTTATGATTGTATTATTAATATGGTATGTAGACGAGAAAAATGCTTTCCTGAAGAATCTTATATTTGAATTTTGGTAGGTCCCCGTATATGTTTTTTGTTCTACATCTCTCATTTCATTATCATTTCCCTAATTTTCGTTTTCCATATCAAGTTAGAGAGTGATTTCTAGATATTTATAATTAGTAATAGAATAGTTTTGAATCTAATCATGTATAAGATGCATGTATCGTTTTCCCAATACCAATTGATGTTTCGCAGTATCAGTGGAAACAGTAAATGTCCTTACTGAATATATTACCACATAGTCTGAGATCCGAATTAAGGTCGACCTTCACCCATATGTTCAATGGATGAAAATTATTTCATAAGTAATTTAGCATGTCAATTATAAAATAATGGGTTGTCTGGAAAAATCCTGGCCAGGCTATGATTGATTGAAAATTCAAAAATCGCTTTTATTTTATTTCTACCGATGAGTTAAACGAAAATATTTTACACCAACCGTAAGTACAATGCCTATAGAATATGCAAACGTAGGGTTGCCTATATTTTTTCCGGTCTAACCAGCGAAGTGACATATTTGGTTGCCAGGTATAGACAGGTTTTTTGGTTCTTCTTTGGCCCTAGTTATTTTCACCTAAGTACTTGTTTACTCTATAAATTGAACATAAAAATAAGCGCTGTTCTATTGCGAACAATACAATTTTGATAGTGCGACTGTGAACGTGAGACAAATATCCCGAGCGATAGACGAAAATATCATAAATATATATTTAATTATGAATGCTGCATCAAAGTTTTCAAATGTGATTTCAGTAGTTATTTGTCGCACGTTCATTGTCGCACTAAAATTCAATTTTTCAAAAGTCGACGACCGTCATTCAGGACAGACTTTCTGCGAGCAGCCCTATTATTATGTTTGCAATTAAACAGCGTTCATTTTTGTTTGATTTATTTATTCAAGTAGGTGAAAATAACTAGGACCAAAAATACCTGTTTATACCTGGCAACTTAATAGTTAGGCCGGGAAAAATATAGGAGGAAACCCTTCGTTTGCATATTCTATAGGGTTGGTGTTGAATGTTTTCATATCGGTAGAAATTGAAAAAAAAAGTGATTTTGGAATTTTTATTCAATTATAGCCTGGCCAGGATTTTTTCAGCCAACCCATTTATTAAATAGTTTTTAACATGCTAAATCACTTATGGTGAAGGTCGACCTTACTTCGAATCCTCTACTAATATCTCACTTAGACAGGTTCATTTGTATCTAGATCATGATATTTTCAATCATAAGGTACCCATTCACATACAGGCCGCCTTCAGGCCGTGTAGACTGAGGGTCGAATCTGCGACCTCATATTTTCACGACACACTATGATACTTTCGAAAAAAGAAGAAAATCAGCGTACTCATTGATAGTTTTATTACTATTAGAGAGGCCACTGCAACAAAGAAAGTGATTGGCTTCTTGAAAGACAATTTGTCACACATGAAGCTAATTGAAAAACTTCGTATGTTATATAGTACTGAAGTATGGGTACATTACCACTTAACCTTATTAGCTTTTTTTACTTCCTCTCGAGAAGGGAGAATCCTGAGATTATTGATTCAATCCATGAATATGCTTCAATAATAAGTGTATGCGTTGTTCAAAATCGTTGAATTTCAGAGCTCATTTCAAACGTAACGTCATTTGGCGATACGTTGAAAAAATGATGACGTCAGTTTTTATGCTGTTTCGTTATTGGTCAGATAGTCTTCCAATTCCACTCATGAAGCAAGGTTGTCAAGTCAACAATTATAATCAAGTTACCAGAAGATCTCATGACTTTTTAGAGCAACCAGCATGTCCAAATATTTCTAATTCTGTATAACAGAATATCATGTGAATGTGGGAGACTTTTCAACATTGTGTTGGATGCTGAGAACTGACAAGACCACGCCCACAAGTCGTCCGCGGGGTTGTCACGTTCACCGATTCAAATGTCATCTAGTGTGAATTTATATAATTATTATTTATACAGATTTATTATAAGCAATAAGCCAAAAATCATTGGGGGCATTTTGAGACAATCGAATTTTTATTGCTAATTAGGGATATTGCCAATAATCAATTGAGAATTTATGAATTAATGAATAACTAATATTTCTGAAGTTCCCAATTGTATTTCAACACATGGTAACTGTGCTATGGTCTGCGCCTACTTACGAAATCGTGACGTCAGTTTTTATTGGCGGTAAATTTCTAGTCGTAGTAAAAATGGATCAAAAAAATTCTTAAAAAATATTAAATTGAAAAAAATTTGAGTGATGATCCTATTTTAGAGTCCACTCGCCTATTGTCCATTTGATTAAAAATTTGATTTCATTTCCCATAAAGATTGATGACTCCTTTAAATATCAACCAAACCTGTGATAAATTCAGGTTTGTCTCATTTTGATTAAAATATTGCAAATCATTGGGGGAAAATTCAAATTGAATAGAAGTTGAGACCTTCAGTCACGGACTGATCAAGAAAGAACACACACAATGCAAATGCAATTGATTTCGATTGCCTGCAGATCTATACAGTCATCGGACGGTGTCAAAGATACGGTGTGTCTGGTGACGACCTGCAAGCCGCCTTTATGTGAACGTGTGCCTTATAGAAAAAGTAATTGATAATATCCTTGCATAGAGAATGTGCTAGGCGAGTAGTGCAAGTTTGGTTGTCGATATACATTTATTGCTGATATACAATTGACATTTTTGATATTTCTTCAGTGAGCTGTTAATTTGAGTACCTAATACTTTTCAATAGGCACTCATAGTTACGATATACTAATTATACTAATAATTATTCAAATCAATAACATTCAATCTCTATGAAATAGATATGTCAAAAATGTCAATGACCAGCAAACCAAATTTATATATAGTTTGTTGTTTCACTATTATAGTTCGTATCATTTATAATATTGCGTAAACATACATTACAATGATTTATTTTATCTTTCCATTACTCAATTATAGTTATATTTCCAGGCCAACGAGTCGAAGTAGTGGAGGGACAAATCAAAACAATAATGGAGTTGCTCTACCCGTTGGTTTGGCCGATGATCAGGCCAAAGACTTTGATTTTGAAAAAACTGAAATGAAATACGATAGCACAGGAATGTTTCATTGGGGACCTGCACGAAATCTCGAAGAATGCATACTGGTAAACATTTAAAACATTAATAGATACAGGGCTATAGTTTCATCAATGGGGACCTCTCTTTTTTGTTTTCCACCCATTAAAAAATTTCAAAACTAATTTTATACAATTATTTTTTATACAAGTTCCAATTATAGTGGCAGTGTTGCAATATCTCTTCAAATATACAGGGTATACAGACATATATATATACAGGGTGTTTCAGACATAAATGTACATACGATACTTGCAGATAGATAATGGTTTCAAATTACCCCCTATTGATGGGTCTACCGTCTTTAATAACTGAGATACAGGACGTCATCTTGATTATTTGGCAAAATCTTCATCTGGTTATAATTTTTTCACCTTGTATAGTTTAGTTTAGTTTAGTTTATTTATTGGTAAAGTATAACACATAGTGCTTTTACAGGTCAATAGGGTATATAAAGTATAGAACTTGTTTGAATGATAATAATATGGTAAGAAAATACTTGAAAATTAAAAAGTGGATTTAACGACACACATTTTACATATTAAAATTGGTTTTACATATTAAAATAGGTGTTACATATTAAAATAGGTCTTACACATAAAACTAAAATGTCCTTAAGTCACTCTCAAGGTACTCCTCGAGGGAATAGAAGGCGTTTCTTAGGAGATAGTTTTTGACTCTAGATTTGAAGCTATTTAGATTTAGCTGCTTAACATCTGTCGGTAGAGCATTGAAAAATTTGATGCCATAATAATCGGTTCCCCTTCTAGTACGTTGCAGCCTGTGGTAGCCGGGCACCAGATTCCCTCCCCCCCTAGTAAAATATGAATGAAAATCACTGTGTGTTCTGAAGTTTTCCCGATTTTGTTTCACATATACTAGACAGTGAAAAATGAAAACGCACGGGAGGGTGAGCAGCCTCAGCCTAACATAGCCATCTCTACAGCATTCGCGGTATTTGATACCTGCAATAATTCTAACACAACGTCGTTGTAACTTGAAAATTTGAGCAGAGTTTGGGGAGTGAACTTTTTACGAACGCGCATCCAATTCGACAGATGGTTCATTATTATGTTTTGAAATAGGTATTCAGCTCCATTTCGAGGCATTCTTATTGAATTCGTAATTCAAAATCCAATTCTAATACAAAAAAAATAGTTTTCAGAGTTCAACATTAGGGTCACATCAGGTGAACTATGTTCGTTTGACAAAATAAATTGTAAATAATTTTAGAAATTATCGAGGACTCATTTTGTTCATCACAATTTATTCATAAGCTGCGTTAAAGTAGGCTGTGCAAAAAAATTTCAAACTCTGACAGTTCATAATCACGAGTGTGATATGATTGGTAACGTTAAGGTTATTGTGTTATGGCATAATTATAAACACTATGAAATGTAACAACCCAATACAAGCACCAACAAGTATCTTAACGTTTCCAATAATAATATCACAGTAGTGATTATGAACTCTCAGGATATCAGATTTTTTGCACAGCCTATAATTTACCGCAGCCCATGAATTGATAGTAATTAATAAAATAAGCCCTGAAAAATGTCTAAAACCAAAGAAAAGTTATTCTGCCAAACGATCAAATCTATCGATAGTTCACCTAATTTGACTCTCATGATGTTGAACTTTGAAGACTGTTATTTTTATAAGTCATGGAAATGAATTTAAATATCTAAATTTTTTTCGTGCCAATGTTGAACCTCATGATTATAAGGTTCTTTTGGATGTTCGGCCGTCATAAAAATTTAATCACCCCCTTACCGAACTGATTATTTACGTTGAAATAACAGCTTGATTTTTATTTCCTGAATTTGTAATCACCACATGGCCTTGGTATGTTTTTTCCTCAGCAAACTTATTGTTCGTCTGTAATTTCATCTCTTACAGGTACTTTATTCAATTTGTGTCTGAAGATGGCTGTTTAGCCGAAACTAGTCACACTAGTAATTGTGTAATATAATGTGTGGTCGACCGACTTGGCGTATTTTGTTTTTTCTTTGTTATTTTTATGTAGAAAAATTGGATTTCGAATTAAGATTCCAATAAAAATTCATCAAAATGAAGCTTATATAATGTATTTCGAAAAAATAACAATAAAACATTTGTCAAATCGGATGCGCGCTAGTTAAAAGTGGGTCACTCTATTCATTTTTTTTTTCGCTCTTTCAAATATCGAAATAGATCTACACAATTTTGCATTACAGAGTGTTTTTTTACATTAAAGAAGTTTTCTGTTTTTTCTCAAGACGGACCTGGATTCAAATCCCGCTTTTTATTTAGTTTTGATGGAAGATATATGTGGAATATTTATACCAAGTATGGATAGATTATACAAAGTGGTTCAATAGTTATGACCAGATGAATATTAGGTCAAAATCACGATAACGTCCTGTATCTCAGTTATAAATAAAGACGGTAGACACATCAATGGGGGGTGATTTGGAATCATCAAAGTATCCTCTATCTACAGGTATCATATGTACATTTAAATCTGAAACACCCTGTATACGCACTGCATGTGTTGATCGATATGAATCCATTAAAGGTATCATTTATTTGAAATCAGGATGAGTTGAGGAATTCAATTCTGCCAAAATATACGGCGGAATAATCATTCAAAAAATAATATATACTTATATGTACACCCTGTATATTTGAAGAGATATTGCATCATTGCCAATATGAGTGAAAGCTGTATGAAAAATTGTACAGGGTGATTCACCATAAATGTCCCCCCCCCTCTAGCTCAGTTATTTTTGAACCGATTGCAAATCTTTAAATATCATCTAAAATGATTTTCGATAGAGTTTTTTTTTCCGCTACATCAGAAAATACAAGGTGCTCGAAACAAACGATCTACAGGGTACTATTGGATTTTTTTAAACGAAACACCCTCTTTTTCATTGTATTTTTAGATTCTCCCTGAAGAGCTGATTTCATCAATGTATCACACTTGGGGTCTATGAAAATGATTACAGAGATATAGAGTGTTCAAAATCGAGAATTTTCAACTTTAGGTCTTTTTTTATCGGTCAAAACGACTTTCATGTCCGTATCTTAACTTCTGATTTACTATCTACTGACATTTTATAATTGGAACAGATATACAGGGTGATCAGAATTCTGAATCTTGAACCACACTGTATATGTTATAATTAAATGTCAGTAGATAGTAAATTGAAAGTTGAGATAGAGACATTTTGACCAATAATGAATAGTTTCGACACAAAAAAATCTAGATTTTGAACACTCTATATCTCTGTAATCATTCCCGCTAGAACCTAAGTGTGTTGTATTGATGAAATTAGCTCTTCAGGGAGAATCTAAAGATACAATGAAATACAGGGTGTTCCATTCGAAAAAATCAAGTAGTACGCTGTAAATCGTTTGTTCCGAGCACCCTGTATTTTCTGATGCAACAGGAAAAAAATTTCTGAAAAATAATTTTAGATGATTTTTTGAATTTTCAAATCGGTTCAAAAATAAGTGAGCTAGAGGGGGGGACATTTATGGTGAATCACCCTGTACAAAATCAGGTTTGAATATTTTTGAATGAGTGCAAAACAAAAAAGTCAAAGGGTGTTTCACATTAATAAAACTACCTCTATACATTTGAAGGTAAAATACTGATGGGGTTTCTAATAATCATTTACAATACTATCTGAGACAATTAATATAAATTTTTTTGTTATCAATATATTGAAGTAGTCCTGAAGAGGTGTTGAAAATGTTGTATGGTTCATATGGTTTTTTGGTTATCCAAAATAGGGAAATAAAATAGAAATTTGAATGACCTATGATATGTTCTCGTTGATTATCAGTTATATAATATATAATTGTATTTTCAGGATAGAAATCAGGCTGCAATGACAGTTTTGAATGGGCATGTCGTTGTTTGTCTATTTGCGGATCCAGACTCCCCATTAATTGGACTAAGGAACCTAGTTATGCCTCTTAGAGCAAGTAATTTTCATTATCATGAGCTCAAACATGTCGTCATTGTAGGATCGGTCGACTACATCAGAAGGGAGTGGAAAATGCTGCAGAATTTACCAAAAATATCGGTCTTGAATGTAAGTTGATTGATTACCAAGCGTATGCCAAAGTCGAATCATCTTCTATCAAAACCTCGAAATTTTGCCAGAAATGTCACTATAACTATGATTTCTCTACCATCAATTTTCATAAGAATTTTTATTATTGAAGAATTAAAAATGTGAAAAACTAAAAATTGCTTTAGAATTGAGCCGTCTACTTTAATGGTTTTTCAGGGTTCACCTCTGAGTAGGGCAGACCTTAGAGCTGTAAACGTGAATCTGTGCGACATGTGTTGCATTTTGTCAGCCAAAGTACCAAGTAACGATGATCCCACGTTGGCAGATAAAGAAGCAATCTTAGCCTCATTGAATATCAAAGCTATGACCTTTGATGATACGATAGGTGTTTTGAGTCAGGCGAATGGAACAAAAGAAGCTGGTACGCCAGTAGGAAGTCCTATCATTCTACAAAGACGTGGGTCAGTTTATGGGGCGAATGTTCCCATGATAACAGGTTAGCACCTAGAAATTCCTCGAATGCATCCATTTTTATATATTTTATGTGCCCTGATGGCTATTTGAAATGTTGACCACATCTATTTCAATGACAGTTAATTTTATTTACTGGTTATCACGCCAATCTTTAAATTCATCAATAACTACCGTCCTTTCATCGGAAAACATTAACGTAACTTGTAGGTATCTCTGATTGAAAAAAAAAACAGAAAAATTCATATAAGTAGTAGTAGGAAAAATTTGATTTATACGAATTCTTATAGATACTTTAATCACGATCGGCGATACAAAAGATATTATTAACATCAGAAACGGTAACATTCAACTGGTCTCAGACGATATTCCAGACTTTGTTGCGCTCAGTCTCCGAACATTGTCCTCAACCAGTAACCGTCTTTACCATTCTTGATGAATGATGATCAATATAACATTATTCAACAGTTACAGATAAACTTTATTTTTCAGAATTAGTGAATGACAGTAACGTTCAATTTCTGGATCAAGATGATGACGATGATCCTGATACGGAACTTTACTTAACTCAGCCTTTTGCGTGTGGTACAGCATTTGCTGTGAGTGTGCTAGATTCACTAATGTCTACAGTAAGTCTCAAAATAATACCAAAAAGTCAAATAACCATAGAAATCTGAGGAAATGATTATTCTCATACTCCTCTCATTTCATAGTATAAGTATTACAAGCATGGAATATATACCTTCACATGAACATGAAGGTCAGACGTGAAACAAATGTCTGTTAACAATCTTCTTAGCTATACAAATTGTTAACCTGGATGTTTGAGTATCATGTTACTTGACATTTTTACGAATAATACAGAAAATTGAATGAATGAATGAAATGAATTGAACCATTTGTGCAAAAAAAAAGGCGAGAAATATAATTATTATTCATTGAACAAGGTTTAGATTGAATCTATATGACCCTACATAACATATAATTGACCTCTTTATTCTCATTTTCTGACAAGAGTATCATTCTCGCCAGTCTTTGATAACCTCATTATTCATCATCATGGTGAGGCATATAATGTCGTCCTTTATAAAAAAGTTAGAAGGCTAACATATTTTTGTCCACCAGATCGCGCTACTGAGACGTGATGCCAGTGTTGATAGAACTGATAGGTAAACTTATTTTTCCGATTCATCTGGACTCTTCCTACGATATCTTCTCATTCAATATGAAAATTGCGCGTTAAGTTCCGTATTGGAAGTAAAAAACGCATACCTGCTCACGTCCAATCATAGTTTTACTATTTATTTAATTTCGCGGTAAGTTGAAGGTGAGATCAATGTTGAACTTATTGAAATCGCTAAGCTGCTTGTCTAACTCAGCCTTCTGACTAATCATGTGACTTATTTATCTAGTCGGGTTCCAAAACGCAAAGAACATGGTTAGCCATGTCAGAGAATCCTCAAGTTGATGAGTAGGTGTCCTCTATGAAGTGATACTGTGTCAACATTTCACCTATCATAATGAATTGATAATTTCAAAATCTTCAAAATAAAGAGTGATAGAATGAAACAGAACTAATTTGTCCCTAATTGTGAAACTAAAATTTATTTCAGCATTATTCTAACTCAATCTGGCAAGACACAAGACCATTAACTGACACTGATATTTGTTTTGATAGTGCGGTCAGGAATGTCAGAATCACTAACTTAACGCATCTGATAAAATCGGATAAGCTAGTGGTTGGAACATATTAGGATGACCCCATTTTTTAGATGATTTTCAGGAACACAGGTATTAGCCTTCAGGGCTATCTGTTAACTGGTGGGACTGAAACTGTTAGCCTTCATTATCTTCCATGTTTACTGTCTCATTCAATTTTCAACATCAAACTGATTCTGTTTATTGAAGACAAACAAGTTATAACCGATTTTCAGACATATTTCAACCAGAACGCCTTAACCCTAATAAGATCTCTAATTACTGGAGGTGCAACTCCCGAATTGGAATTGATTCTAGCAGAAGGGGCAGGATTACGAGGAGGTTATAGGTAAGAAATAGCAACATGATAATTGTTATATCAGATGTAACGTGTGAATGCACTCTGTTCAGGTAGATACTTTTGATTCAAACAAGTACCTACATAATTTTTCTATCATCATTATTATCATCAATTAGAATTGAGGATTGAATTTCCACAAACTACCCCAATGTGTCGAGACTTCCCCATTGATAATATTGCCTAAAAAATCTTTTTATTTTTCAGTACTGCGGATAGTTTATCAAACAGAGATCGTTGTAGAGTAGGTCAAATATCGTTGTACGATGGACCACTTGCTCAGTTCGGAGAAACAGGAAAATATGGTGATCTATTTGTTGCTGCATTGAAACAATTTGGCATGTTGTGTATTGGACTATACAGATTCAGGGATACAAGTTCTTCTTGTGATGCAAGCAGCAAAAGATATGTCATAACAAATCCGCCAGACGATTTTCACTTACTACCTACCGATCAGGTAAGATAAATGAAGATCTCTCTCTAAAATGAGAAAGAAAATCCAATAGCAACATCAAATGTTGAAGTCGATCTTGGATATTTCGTTAAACAGTGTGTCCAATCAAGTTTGAACAATGATTCTTTTTTTAACAACATTGTCATCGCCACACGTTTTTCTGAAAAATTCCACATCGGTGCGTTGATGCCTGCCAATGCCACTGGAAAACGGATCGACTGAATAATGATATTGACTCGATCGCTGTCAGGTATTTAGGGATTCACTAGTATATCGCGAATTTTTGTTGCGCGGGTCTCTAGCACTTCAACGAAACATTTCATATTTTTAACTTCAACACCATATACCTTTCGAACAAACCTATGTTTATCATCTCTCATTCTTTGAGACACCGCATCACCTCTGAAGTGCCTCCAACACATTATGAAATAGCCTGATTATGTTTGGAAAGTGATATTTTCGAGCAACTCAACTAATCAGTCGATCACATTTTGGAACATTTTCCCAACTTGATACAGGAAAAAAATTCACATTTTTTTTTTGTATTCCCAAAAATCTCCCAAAGCATTCATAATTCATCAATTTTCCAAACAGCAAAATGATGATCTCCCAAAAAAAAAAAACTCCTTTTGGCAAATTTCGTACACAGTTCACAAGTTGACAATTATGAAAAGTGAAAGTGTCGTATCTTATCGCACAATATATTTATGTTATTCGGAAAATGTTGGCATTGATTTAACGATATTGAAAGAATTCATTTACAGATAGTTGAATCACAACTATATAAAGGTGCATCCAGAAACTTCATTGGTAGGTATACAAAAACGTGAAATCGATTGACTTTGCATTCAACTATGAATTTTCAATCTATCTATCTAATTTGTGAGTGGAAAATATTGCCAAACGAGCGTTAGCTCCAACCGATATAAAAGTACAAATAAGAAAAATATTCGACATTAAATGAAACGTGAAAAAAGGGGAACTGATTTCATTAATTACCTCACTCCAATTAAGTAATGCAACCTGCCAAATGTTGTACCATTCAGAAAACGAATATTTGTATAATTTGAGCAACTCAGGTATATCTAATAACCAATTCGTAAAGTATCGATATCTTTTCAGTGCAGTAAAACAATATATTATATAGGTCTTTTTCATAAAACTCTGGTAAAAACATCTGCAGAAAGGCATACATACTATTACATGCTAAGGTTGGTATGAATTATTAATGTGTCATACACATCTATTAACTGTATGAAAGGCATTTTATCCAGTTTAGAATAAATCAAATAGTATCATTTTCACATACTAGGAAAGCAATAAATGTACTTAGACATATCTGGCAATCATATATGCATCATTCACAGAATGTTAACGTCAGTTACAATGAGTGGCTGTCTTCGACCGTTCGAATTAAACTGTGACTACAACTGTGATATTGATAAAAACATTAGTAAAGATCATCAGTGAAAAATAATAGAAATAAAGAACAGTATATTAGCCCATTTCCCATCGCCAATGAATGTGCGGTTGCCCGTCATTTCTACCTAAATTCTTGTTTAAATGAATGATGGGAAGCAAAACCTAACAAAGAAAAAATAACATTGAACATGCTATTATTTTTGCAGGTTTTTGTCCTCATGCAGTTTGATCCTGGCCTAGAATATAAACAGGTGAAAGGAAAAGCCGGTACAGGTCAAGGTAGCGGAACAGGAGGAGGAGGCACAAACAAAGACGAGAACTCTTGACTACTGCTATGTAGTGCCCTCACAGATGGACCGTATTCATATATTTGAAATATATTGAAGTGACACAGGGCCAAAAATGTTATACCCACCATTCCCTATTCCTTTCCAAGTTGGTATGTGTTAGTTCAAATTTTTATATTAATGAACATAACATTTGTTCATGTGATTGTGTTCTCATTTGAAAATTTCTTGAGGCGGTTTTTTTTTCATTCTACGATTTGTTTTGTGTTGAACCTTTATCTCAGTGTGGGTGTTTAACTAAAATATTGTGTGAGGGTGCTACGGTCAAAAATAGTTCATAGTGAGAACCTTTGAAAGAGAATAAAAACTATATGCATAAGATGGCTATAAAAAAGACATTTAATAAATTTTGTGAAATATCCCAAGTGTAAAATAGAATTTTTTGTAACTATAATCATGCTGTGGATCTCTATGTACATAAAAACTTCGCAACTTATTAGGTAGTTCTCAAAAAATGTGGGTATTTTTTGATTGGTTGATTGATATAGCATTTTTAATATATTCAGGGACACCTCACTGAAACTGTATCCACTCGCTCGATAAAAAAAGACCAACATTTTTAGAGATGCACCTTAATATGTTGTGGAGTATAGTTTAATTTAAGAAATAACGCTTTCTTCAAAAGATTCGCATGTTAAAACTCAAATGTCAATAGTTGTGTAAGAAACAATTATTATTGTTATTGCATCCTTCAATATATTTTCAAACATGCAACTTTCATAAATTTTTCACAAAACACCGTAAAACTCAACGACTTTAAACATTTTTGAAAATCAGTGCCTTCAGGATAATTTTGATTTAAAACGTTTTGTACTTGATATTTATTATGGGTAAACTTTTTTTTTTCAAAACTGATTGTAGGGTATATAGTTTGTAGTTAATGAACTTGAAAACTGTACATTATTTGTTTGAATATTGTGTGTATTCAAATATATTGAACTTCAATAATTGCAAAGAATTTAAACTTGATCTGTAAAAAATCCAGAGTCCTCGTGAAAACGCACGTTTTTGTGTAAATTAATGCCAAAAAATAAAAATGTCAATTGTCGTTGTTTTGATTTGCAATGATGTTTTACGCTGATGAAACGTCATTGATTCACTGTATGCCCGTATTTTTTTTAATAAATAAACTGTTGATTTTTGAGAGTAGTATTATTTTTTCAGATTTCGTCAGAAAATTTTTTTTGAAAATTATACATATCCTTTCATTTTCTATGTATGATCCTCCTCATACCTATCATAAAGGGGGTTTCAGAGTTGAGATGACAAAAGCCTAGGGGATATTCTTGTCAACAAAATATAAAAATAAATTATTCGAACATTGGTTCAAAAATACTTCGTTTACAAAGTTTAAGGAAAAATGAGTTTTTCAATAATATCTTCAAGACGCTCAATCCGATTTGAATGAAATTCATAAGGTACATTTACACAATTATCAGACATTTACTGGACCAATTAGATTTGATCCAGATTTCCAGGGACGTACACATCGAGCAAGTCGGCTTTTTGGTAGAAAAAAGTCACCCTCTGCTTTTATTTTCGGGTATTTCCTGAATACTCAGAAAAAACCACTAGGAATACGATATTTCTGTCTTTCGCTATTTTTTCGTATCTTGCTTCGTTTCCGAGAAGAACGCACAATACCATACCTCGGCATATCTTTGAACACCATAATAAGGAAAAATATAAATGCTGAGATATTATCCAAAAATTTATTGCACATTATTATTCATGGAAACAAGAATGAAATAGAATTCAATACCCTCTCTAAAATTTATAAAATCCTCAAATTTTGTGAGAAATATTTTTTCAAGATATCAATGAATATATTTTGAAACTTGGACACCCTATATCTCGGAAACAAAGCATATTCGGACCAATGTTCATGTGAACTTTTTTCATATTTTGTTATGTATTTGAGGAATCTCCCAAGGCTTTTGTCATCACAACTCTGAAACACCCTGTATAGTTTAAATGAGGTCAGATACACTCTGTATATTTGATTAGTTTTGGTGTAAAGGAAAATTGTCAGAGTTTTTTGATAATAGGCGAGTAGACTATTTTTTTTTTTCATTTCTTTAATAGAACTATACTCAAATAGCTTTCAATTTCATATTTTTCAAGGATTTTTCTGGTCGATTTTTAGGTGCTGAAATCATCAATAATGCCACGGTAATTTTCAAACGGCTAGAAATTTATCATATATAATACCACAAGTGATAATATTTTGCCGGAAATATTCGGTGATTGTTACGACAGCTTGTTGCCTAGTAATTTCGTGAATGACATTGTTATCAGAACTACGAGCCGTAGGCGAGTAGTTTTGGATCAATGTCATGAGCGAAATTAGAGCAGCAAGCTGGAGTATGTCAATCGACGAATATTTCCAGGAAAAATAGTATCACGAGCTGTATTCGTATGACTATTTCATGATTGAATGAGACAATATATACAGTGTGACCCATTTTTAATGGAAACACCCCTGTATCTTACTTAATCGTTGGGTAAGGATCCTGAAATTTGCTGGAGCGAGAGATATACCAAAAATCAATCAATCAATCAACTTTATTATTCCCAAGAAACAACATTTGTTTATAGCAGGGAACATATGACCAAGTGGAGTCATCTTCAGTAATATACACTGCTCACCAGCAGCCATGGAACCGCCCCAATTTCTGGAAAATCATATTAGGAGTCAAAATAGGTTGAAAATCACTTCGGATTCGGAATCAGGACGCCCAATTCACTAACTATTCATATTTTTCCTGGAAAATTTTCGGTTCTGAAAAATTAAATTTCGTCGCACTTTTTACGGAAGCACCCCCGTATCTTACGTAATTATTGAGGTAGGGTTCTGAAATTTCCAGGAGGAGGGGAAAGTCCAAAGATAAAGTCAATTACGTAAGATACGGGGGTGCTTACGTAAAAAGTGCGACAAAATTCAATTTTTCAGAACTGAAAATTTTCCAGGAAAAATATGAATAGTTAGTGAATTGGGCGTCCTGATTCCGAATCCGAAGTGACTTTCAACCTATTCTGACTCCTAATATCATTTTCCGGAAATTGGGGTGGTTCCATGGCTGTTGGCGAGCAGTGTATATCACTGAAGATGACCTCACTTGGTCATAGAGTGCATTTTTGGTATATCTCTCGCTCCAGCAAATTTCAGGATCCTTACCGAACGATTACGAAAGATACAGGGGTGTTTCCATTAGAAGTGGGTCACACTGTATAAGAAATAGGAAACATAATTTAAGTATATTCCAACTCGAACTACGAAGAAAAACAATGATAGTAATGAAATACAGAATTTACTTTTTCAGAAATTAACTACCTACTTTAGAAATTAACTACCTCAAACAAAATAAATTGAATTTATGTGACATGGAATAATTAAAAAAAAAAAGATATCGTCGCCGAGGGCTCGAACAATCGACCTTCGTATCCTCGCGCAACAAACCTAACAGTTGCGCTACATCAGCTAGTAATTATATCAGTCAGTCACAATAACTTGAGTAATTGATGAAGATTACTTCAAAAAGGAATTTGAATTCTAGTATTGTTGTGTCAGACCGTCAACAAATATGCAAACTTTTCAAATTACACATGAAACGTCCAGCCAGAATAAAATTGTCTCGCCTTTCGTACAAAATATCTCACTAACGCGAATTATAAGTAAATAGAATAAAGTAGGAACTTAGGTTATTGTCTCAGATTTGAATCCAAAGCAGACACGATGTCAAAATTTTATCGCTGATAAACGAGGTTAGTTGGTCACGTGTGGGTCAATTCGGCTTCTGTATTGGTAGAGCAAGTCCGATAAAATTTAATAAACAAAAAATATCGCTAGAATACAGAAGAAACCATGAAAATGGTCGATTCTGATTGGTTCTCGAGATCAAGAGTGGAATAGTCGCCAGTAAAAACTGACGCCACAATTTCCTAAGTAGGGGCAGACCATAGCATAGTTGCCAAGTGTTGAAATGCGATTGTGAACTTCAGAAATATTACACAGGAATGAAGGAATGCTCGAAGTCATCTCCACAAATTTCAATGACTTCGAGCATTCCTTCCTTCCTGTGAAATATTTCACTCCACTTTGAGCAATATGGACTTCTACCAAAGTTCAGAAATATTAGTAATTCAATAATTCATAAATTCTCTATTGAGTATTGGTAATATTCCTAATTAGCAATAAAAAATCAATTATCTCAAAATGTTCCTTTCTGATTTGTGGCTTATTGCTTGTAATGAGTTTGTGTGAATAATCATTATATTGATTCACACTAGATGACATTTGAATTGGTGAACGTGACAACACGGCGCACGATTTGTAGACGTGGTCTTGTCAGTTCTCAGCATTCAGCACAAAGTTGCTGAGTCTCCAACATTTACATGATATTTTGGTATGGGGAATAAGAAATATTTGGACAAGCTGGTTGCCAGAAAAAGTCAAGAATAAACTATAATATCATGGGTTCCTCCTATTATATTTTATTCAACGACAGGACTCCATCTTTTTGATGACTTGACTATAATTGGTGACTTGACAACCTTGCTTCATGAGTGGAAATGGAAGATTTTTTGACCAATAACGAAACAGCATAAAAACTGACGACACCATTTATTCGACGTATCGTGGACGTATCATCAAATGCCGACCATGAAGGTTCGTTTGAAATGAGCTCTGAAATTCAACAATTAGAAACAACGCATAGATTCATTATTTACATAAAAAAGCATGAGAAGTGTTGCAAAAATTGATTTAGGTTCCTAACGACACGGTGGAGTAATTTAATGCCAATAATTCATATCAGTCCACTCGCCCATTGTCAAAAAAAGTCTTTCAGACCAAATCCGAGTTAATTTTTATTGAAAAAAGGACATTGTGACCGCCCGAACACAGAATTCGGACGTATGAAGGATGAAGTTGTACCTCCAATATGTCTATTATGAACAAAGATGTTTCTTAGGGTAATGAAGAACAACAACAACAAGTTTGAAGATGTGCACACTAGGACTAGGATATAAATGCCATAAGATAAAAGCTCACCCATTCACGAGACCGAACTGGAGACCATGAATCCGAACATAGGCGTATCGCAAAGAACAGGATCGAAGAGTCTACTATGAAAGGTTGAGAAATGAATGAAATATACCCAATTTAATTCGAAAATTTCCAAATATTGAGAATTGAGAACTTTATTGCGAAAATCCATCAATTTTAAATAACAATAATACTCTGCGGGAGTTATATTAATAACATTCTTGTTCCAAACTGAAGAAGAAAATAAATTAGTCACTGTCACTACTTTTGAGGAGAAAATATAAATACAAATGAACATGCCACGTTATTTTTAGAACAAAATGCTCTGAACATATCCTCCTTGAAGAGGATCCAGTGGTCTTTCAATAGCCTTCAACCATTAATTTCTTTCATCTTTAGAAATTTCAGAATCGATATTGAATTAGTAAAATTGATCATTTATGGCCCCTCACACCTGAACTTGAGCAGAAATGCAAATTATGCACTGCTGAATGAATGTTATAAAATATGAAATAATTCCATTTGTTACATTATTTAATGATAAAAGCAGACGAGTTTTTGGGCAAGCATTTTGGAGTTTTTCAGATAGCTAGGATATGATATATAGCGGCCTAGATAGTAGTTATTAGTTATGTTGGTGGTTGTAAACAATCATAACTCCGAATGAATAGAAAGAAAGCGCTTACGCTTGCATTATGAAAGGACGAAATATTACAGCTTCATAGACTACAAACCAGCCAAGAACTGAAGCAACACGTTCTTTCAACTTTTGTGACAATTTTTCAACTCAACACCTAGTATAATTATTTCGATAAATCTAATAATCCCATTGTTAGAAATAGACCTTGCATTATGAATGGACGAAATATTACAGCTTCATAGACTACAAACCAGCCAAGAACTGAAGCAACACGTTCTTTCAACTTTTGTGACAATTTTTCAACCTAACGCCTAGTATACTTATTTCGATAAATCTAATAATCCCATTGTTAGAAATACACAGCAGATAATGGCAGGAATGCTGGAAAGCTCAATGCAGAAGGTACTGGTGAGGTTAGAATGGGATATTCTCAGACATATTATGAACAAACAAAAAATGGATATATACAGGTTGTCCGGAGAGGTCATGTCGTAAATGATAGGACTGATAGAGTGAACCAAATTAATGTTAGTACTTCATATAAAACAAAATGTCTCTCGCGCTTCATTACGGAGTTATTGAACTTGAATGTTTGAATAATAAATGATATTTAAGAATGCAAATTCTCAACCTCAGAAGATTTTATTTTCAAATTCTTATCGTGTGTGTGTGTGAAGGTAGTTATTTTCTGTTGAATAAACCGAGAAATGATTACCACTTTCATCACATAGAGAATGCGAATTCTCAATGTATTTCTTTACGTATATATATCATTTTTTCATATTCAAAATATGTCTGAGAATATTCCTTTTCAATAGGATAATATCATTCAATGTGATAGGTTATCTATTTTTCAATCCATACAACTCAGAACTTGTTATACTGAGGAAGAATACGTTTCATGAAATACATGGATTTTTTTTAAATGACGGATTTCGGCTTGGATGATTATCCTGCATTGTCACATTTTGTATTTTCTCGAAAATTCAAGTTTAAATCATTAGTATGAATCATGGACATCAAATCGCCAAGAAACAATGATGTATATGAAGGAAGACTAAATCCACTTTGAGCAGTATGGACCTCTTCACACGTTTGATTGATGTATATGTCAGTACAAAATTTTATAAATTTATTTTCTGCAAATATAGATAACATACAATATTCGATATACAATTTTTCATTCAATAATATAACTGCAATAAAATCCATCAGGAAACCAAAACAATATTTTTTGGAAAAATAAAACATTCCTCAGTACAAAAATAATTAAGGGAATGTACAATATAATATAATAAGAAAATCAATAAAAAAAGTATAATTTAATTGTATCACTTGATTAAATTAGTTCTTTTAGGCCGGCTATCGATTTTTTCAACAAATCCTGTTGAGTTCGAGCATGTTTGACTTCCAATTCAGCCAATTCTATCAGACTGGAAAATAGTACTCAATTAGGAACAAAGTATATCAAGGCTTACTCAATATAAAGGCAATGTCCTGCCAAATTGATCAAAGAAAAAAATCTAATGACATGTACAACGTATATGTACAGTTTGATTTGATATGTGCCCGAGTAAAAATGAAGATACAAGAATATAACTATCTCACGTGCCAGTAAAATGCGTGAAGTAGTAGCTACGTTTGAACAGCGTGGATATTTGGAATGCTTACCAAACTGATCAGACCAAATTCTGGCCCAATGACTTAGTTATCGCATGTTTACACCATGCACCTTTAGTAAGCTTAGTTATCATTTGATTATCATTTTGAAGTTGGGGTGCAGAACTCAACTAATTTAATAAATTCCTACTTGGGAAGTTCGAAATGTGCAGAAATTAGATGATTTTGAATGATATTGTGTTTTTTTGTTCAAAAATCATAAAACAAATACACTTCTTTTCAACTCAAGTGGAAGCTTTAGAGTGTTTACACTGTATTGGCTATCACTAACCCGTTACTTTAACAAGTGAACAGGTTAAACCAAACTGGCCAAGAGCATTCAGCTGAAATATAGTCTACAGCCATTAGTCACAAAGAGAGAAATTTTTAATGTTCAGAATGATTGATTTGGTAAATGTGATTGAATACGAACTTCTTTAGAACATGGAGTTGAGAGGAATACATTGAAACACATTGTACAAGGAATCATACTTTGGATATTTGAGATATTTAGTATGGGTGACATTTCATTTTCCTACGACTACATAGTACAAATACCTTACGGCAAATGAACTGAAAACTAATCAATAAAGTATTGAATTTGAAGATTGTAGAGTATTATTCATTCTCAACAATGGTTGACCTCGAAATCTCTCTAATCTAATAGTTATACGGAATTTGCTCCAATGCCAATTTGTTCTTTTGGAATTTCATGAGAGCCTGAATAGTGAACAGATGCAGTATGGAAAGAGTTTTGAGGTAAGAATATGCTCATGCCAGGTCAATTTGATATCACACTCGACATCAACCAAGATACCTAATGTTTAGAAATATTGAGGATATCAATAATTACATATCTTAACAATTATTACCTTTTCCTAAATGCATGCAACCTTCTTGTTTTAAAATCCAACAACTCTTCCTTTGCCTGAGCTGATATCGACTCAAACTGTTCACAAGCAGCAGACTGGGCAATCTCCGCCTGAAAACAAGTGTCATTTGAATTTATTTCGTTCGAAATTTGAATGGAAATTGCAGTTTTTTGTTTGAATTGTTTCAGTCGGCAAAAGCCAAAAGGAATTTATTTTAGAAATTCTTAGGGCCGTTTGCAGTGAGAGACGATTAAATATATAATTTGTTTATATCCATGACAACATATGCCACAGCTGATGAGTTAGAAGCGTTGATTCCTCGTTAAGTTAACAGATATCTTCATGCAACTGATTTTTATTATTTCGTTTAGGGATAGGACATTTGAATAAAAAATATTGTATGAAAAAAAGCACAGCATGATTCGTTAACACAGTAGCTTCTTCCAGTGAAATACGCGATAGTCTTAAATGTTATGTTAATTTATTGTAGGAGCATTTCCCTTGAAAAAACTATTGCTGTGTTAGCGAGACATGTGATATTAACAATTTTGTGAAAACCTCATCGGTCCTGAAGTTTTTTATATTTACAATGGATATCCATCAAGTAACAAAATCCAAAGATTGAAAAAAAGCGAATTTAATTTGAAACTATTGATATTTTTGGGGCTGATAGCCCATCCAAAAGCAGAGTCAACATTTTCTATAAGATTATTTTCGGAAATAAATATTGAGGAGGAGATGATAAAATATCAGTTTAACAAACAGTAACAAGACAGTGTTTTGTTTTCTCTAGATTTCTTGGGATTTTTTCTCCATAAGAATATTAGTTTTATTTCAACATAAATGTGTGTTATTTGTCATAATGAATGATAATCATTCAGAAAATTCGAAAAAAGTTACCAAATATGACATTTTATTATAGACTGATATAAAATTAACTAGCAAAAGGAAAATAACATCAACAAGAATGAAACACATACCTCTTGTACTTCTGGTGCCTGAGAATTGAAGCATGAGAAAAACAAAGATAATTATTAATATATATAGATATATATACATGAAACGAGTTCAAATTTTTTAAGGAGTTCTTATTCATAACAGGACTTGACCAGATTATTATAAAAGTGAAAAGTTATACTCGCCTACTGTACAGCGAGTTTCAAATGTTTATCGAGACATCTCAGTTTTTGAAGATGATAAAAAGAATAACCGAAAACTATTCTGAGTGGAATCGAAAAGTCTTTCTAATTGCACTCTTGAAACTTGATTTTCCTCAATCTTCAAGATACCACCCCAATTTTTTCATTTCAAATTGAAAAATGAACTATTAAGGAGGTTGAATTCACTTCATTAGCCGTTCTTGTATTGGTTAGATTCTGGCTTTGTTCTATATACAAAGTTATCGAAATTGAGTCCAACTTAGATATTATAAATGATGAAGGATTTTTCAAATTATCAAACTTTCAACAAGAACTTTCTTTTATATTCAACACTGGTGTGTGAAGGTAGTTATTTTCTGTTCGTGACGGAAATTCTAGGACACCCTGTGTACGGATTCAAGCTATAACCTTGGAGTAGTATGATAAATAATGAGGAGACATTGTTTCAATTTGTTAAACCAAATTGCCAAGATACTTCAGCCATGGAGTAGTATATTATAGTAGTAGTGTAGTATATTATATTAAATTAATGAATACCCCAAAAATATAAACTTACAGCATGTATATCCTTATTCTTATGTCGGGCTCTTTCTAATGTTCTGTTGGCATTCTCGTAAGTAGCCAAACACTTTAAACGTCTAACCAATAATGATCTTGCAGCCTGACTGTCTCTCATATAATAGCGAAGTGTGTCTGCTAATTTCAAATCCTGATCACTAGCTACTCTACTTTCTATTTTCTGAAAAAAATAATAAAACCATATCATACACTTTTGACGGACAAACAAAAACAGAGCCTTGAAGCTGCCCTGTATAATATCACGTTTGTTTCGCTTCAAAGAACAGTTGGAATTGCGGCACGTTTGGATATTCGCAAAGGCGACATCATCTCCTTTTATTCGCTACTTGTTTCAACTTGTTATCACATAACGGAAGTATGTCCGGAATAATAGGAGCAAATAAATCGCTGTGCCGTGGATTTGGCTCAGATTGAGGGGTGGCACAGGCATATACGTATTAATAAACAATACGGATCATAACGGGTGCCAGGATGAAGCCAAAAATATGAAACAAATGAATATCCATAAGGATTTGGTGGCATGATACGCATGCGCCATGCGCTATTAGAGTAGTCATCAAAGACATGCGTTTCGGTGGACAATGACGTTTACTAGCCTTTCAATCAAAGCAGTATGTGTCTGATCGTTTCAAAACTTTTCCTTATGGATAGTCATTTGTCTTCGAAAATCGGCTTCATGTTTCGCTATGGAAACAGATAGAGATTATCCATATTGATTATTAATACGTATATGGGCACAGGTTGGTTTTTGCGATCTACCATTCAATTGATATCGGATGGCATAAATCTTATCTAGTTATCAAATCGCGAAATCGAGTGCAAATTTTAGTGATTGGCACAGATGCCGTTCGAACTGCAATGTTTTTACTTTCCTTTGGAATGTCATTATCAGATGACGGTAGAAATCTGCAGCCGGCTCTCAAACTATAATAAGGAATATGCATGATTTTTTTTAAATCGAAATTATATTCCTTCTTCCTTATAATAACATTGCATATCATTCATTAATCTCAAATTTGCTTGTGACTCTAAAAAATTCCATTTAAATGAGGCTAAATATGAAGTCACAGGAAAACGGGTAAGTGGCCATCACTAATATTATTACGTCATAGTATTAGGCCGCACAGCCATGACTAGCGCGACAGAATGACAAGATTCAGATTGAAAAAAAAAAAAGAAGAAGAGGTAGGAGAAGAAAACAGTTTTAAACGCCAGAAATTTGAAATTTGAAAATGGAAAATGATAATGTTAATACCAAATACTGTTTAGTGCCGCAATGCCTTTCATCAACAAAAGTATCACCAGGAAAAATATTCCATTCATTGCCAGTGGGATCGAGTGATAAAAATGAAGAGAAAAGAAAATTATGGTTGCCAGAGGATTTGTTTGTGAAGACCATTTCGAAGTGAGTATACGTTCAAGTATGTCCTAGTGAAACCCATTATATATCAATGATTATGTTCCTCATGTTATTAGGAGAATAATATAATATGTGATTTCGTTTTCAGCTTGAAGAAGATATGGAAAACTATATGAGATATAAATTGATAGGTGGTAATATATATTTGAAACAACATGCAAAAAGAAGTCCTGTTTGATCATCCTTATTGTAGATATTTGCTTATTATTCAGTTATTATTATTCAGAATATTGAGATCATATAATTGAGATAGATTATAGAAACTACAAGATCAGATAATCATAACCTCACTTTATCTTCTTATATTATTTTCAATCTTTCGGACATGGATGTTTGACATGACAAATAAAAACAGCCACATCCAGTCGGAAATCATCGCTGCAGTTCGCCTGTTGGTCGGAGAGTTGCAAATATTATGATTTTCAATCAGAAATTATTAAATATTCGGTGCTTATTCCATTGTAAAATTTTCACACGCGTATACTCTATTATTATATGGGACTCTAATAATTAGTGATTTAGCATGTGTACATGCAATTTGATGGGAACTTGAAAAAATAGGTGAAAAAATGTTACTCACCCTAGATTTTTCAAATGTTTCGGATACTTTAGATAAATATTTATCTAAATGCCCATTATCACAGTTTGCTAGTTGTAGCAAACCACTAGATATCTTGATATAACTGTCAGCAAGTTCTGAAAAATAATACATATTTTATTATTTCTCTGGATTGTTTTTCCCCAAACTTCATGAAAAAACAGAATTCCGGATTTAGGAAATTTCCCTACTTCAGTTCCGGATCCAAAAATTACCTTTATGTTTCTCAGTCATTCTATCACTACGAAAAGTGGCATCCCTCAATTGATTATGATATTCTGATAGAGAATTCATCTGCTGCTCAAAAAAGTCATTGACGTCCCTGACGGTGGCGTTCAAGTAGTACTGGTCTGTCGTAGTCCCTACTGACTTTATCAGACCGCCAAGTTGTTGGAGTTTGCCTTTGGGACGGGCGCACAGATCTTGATCGTATTCTAGGAAAACATGTAGGTGGGCATCTTCACGAAAGACGATGTGGCTGGCCAGTCGTGTGAGGAACACTTCATGCATTGCGACGGTTTTCTTGAAGGTTGCCAAATATTCGCTGAGAAGGTCCGATAATTATAGAGGTGAATTGAAGAGAAATCATATGAGGTGCATTGCCTTCACAAACAGTTTCAGAATAGTTTTCCCTCAAAATGTGTTGTGAGGCGGTTTCGGGTTTTTAGTCATTTGAAATCTCGTATGCACCTGTATCACGTTTTCTAGTGACAATTCAAATCATGTATAAAAAATACCATAAGCCGCTGTGATTTTGTCATTATGAACCAAAAACCTTCACTTTAAGTTTTCCAGCGACAAAACGAAACCCAACTCTTGAAACCATGACAACCAGGGTTGAGAAAGAATCTTTGATGGCGTTTATGTCAATCTTTCTCAATCTTGCGCTATCAGAATAGTAGGTATCTAATCTGTGGAAATGTCGCGATTTGAAGTGGAGAAATCAAAAAATGCGAATTACACCAAATTACACTCAAACATTTTTTGGGACGAAATAAACTCAACATTTATAGCTCGAGTTTTGTTGCCTTTAGGAAATGTACTGTGATGTAATTTTATCGGAGGCGATTTTTTTCGTTCAATTTCCAGGAAACAAAAAGTGACAAGAAAGATTTTTTTCCATTCGACTTCGCGGTTACGTGTATTACTAAACAACCACTAAATTCGCAATTTTTTAAATCAAATCACTGTCCCTACTGTTAAAAACTTAAAATTTCACGTCGATAATTTTCGGATTTCAAAATAATATAATATCTTGTCAATATTGATTCGTCTTTTCTTCTGTCACAGAAATAAAAATAGTGCATTATACACGAGCTAAAATCTACTACTTTTTTCCCTTGTATAATGAATAACTATTTCAAAACTGTGAAATAATCGATGCTAGTGATTTTGAATGAAAAAAATGTTCGTATTAAAAATGTATTTAATGAGTTGAAGAAATTATTCTACTTCAATTTCGTTTTTGGATGAGAATCGGGTGTTGATAATTTGATACTAATAATATTAACAGTAATTAAGACCAACTTAATATTAAATAGTTAGTAGAGGGTGATAATTAAAGTAAATTAAAGTAAATTAAAGTAAATTAAAGTAAATTAAAGTAAATTAAAGTAAATTAAAGTAAATTAAAGTAAATTAAAGGCCACTTTGCCGACGTTTAATTATATAATTGCTGAATTTCGGAATAGCGTCACATCCAGAAACATCTCTTTTTCATAAAACATATCAAAAACATCAATTTTTCTACGAAGAAACGTGATACAGGTACTTATTGCAGCACCTTAGAATAAGATACTATTCGCGATAGAAAATAACACGTCGCTCCACCTCACGGCAACAGCTTGAACACTTCTGAGCGGTTTGTTTTGATGATGTGACCAATAAGCACAAACAAAAAACAAATGTGAACCAATGGAGAGAAAGTAAACAGGCCTCATTGACAGCTTTAAAGGATTCCGATAGGTGGTGTACGCTTATCGTACGCTATCGCGAATACGATGATGCATTGAAGTGTGCAATATTTCAGACTTTTCAAAGTGGCTCCCACTGGGATAAAATTTGTTACACAATCAGATTTCGCGAAACTTGTCTGAAATTTCAGGAATTATCATCCCCTTGTTAAATTATGTTTGTTTTTCTAAAAAAATGCATGATTTTTGGTTACCGTCAATAATGTGGAACTTACAAACTTTCTGGCTCATACAGTTGGCTATGAGTTTGGAATGAAGCATACTCTTAAAATAAATAATGAATGGCTATCAAATACTGTTGATACAAGGAATGTGGCGTATATTCGACCATTAAAAATAAGAAGGAGAAATTATAATAGTTTACTTACGCCTCTAACTCTTGTTTCATCTTTGTAAACTCTTCTTTGGTCATTGTACCCTCTCCTTCACCTAAACGTTGAAGTTTTTCTCGAGAAGCATCAAAATTTGGCCTTGGTGGTGGTGGAGGTATCTAAAATATGATTTTGTTGAGAAATATGATGAGACACAAGAGATTTATTCAATTATTACTTGAGAGTCATGCCTTCAATAAGTAGTTCATCTATAGTAACGAAGCTTTATCAAATGATATTTATGTAAACTTTTTTCATGATTTCAGTAAACGAACAAAAACTAGGAGAAAAAAATTGTGTAGTCGCAAATTTTTGTAGAGAGGTAGGGGAATTGTCATGAACAACATACTAAAGTCCTGACCCGTAGGGTATGAGCGGGGCGCATATTCATATGTTACAGACACAAAACTAGCCACTTCGGAAAGCCGAACGATTTCATTTAAGTTACAGACGTAACTTATGGATTCCGTCGGTAACTTATGCCTAGATGAAGCAACGCTGTACATTTTATTATGTATTTATTAATATAGTTTTTTCTGCGAATTTGAGGAAGGTAAATATCCTTCCTGCACAATACCTGACTCGGCCGAAAGAACCTTTATTTACCTTCCTCAAATTCGCAGAAAAAACTATATTAATAAATACATAATAAAATGTACAGGCATAAGTTACCGACGGAATCCATAAGTTACGTCTGTAACTTAAATGAAATCGTTCGGCTTTCCGAAGTGGCTAGTTGTGTCTGTAACATATGAATATGCGAGCGGGGCGGTAGGGAAGCGTTTGAATGTCAGTTTTTCAAATTGTTCTCGAATAATTCGGAAAATTGCGACCTCTACCGGAAAAATATAGTTATACAAAATTGAACAATATAAAATTTCCTATAAAAAAGTTTCTATTCATTATTCGCCTATAAAGAATAGTTTCTGAGATACAGGGGATGGAAGGATCGAGATGTGTCAAAAATAGAGCTTAATGGTTCGAAATTCATGTTCAATGTCTCATATCATGTAAATGGTGTTTCACGTGAATCGTAACGAAAATACTCATTAAAAAAACGTATCGAATATATACGTTCACGTTAACATATTGGTCATCATCTTCGTTTACATTTTCCTGTAATGGTGCACAATTCGTACACGTACCATGGCACAAGCCGCACATCATGGAGAACGGAATTCCAGCTTTTCAGCATTTTTCGGCATTCACGTCGTCCCCCACATCTTCAAATCCAATAGAAAATCGGCAAAAATGCTGTTCATTATCGATTCAATCCATCCTCCCCTCGATTTTTTCATTCAGTTGAACATAAACGCATAGGGAATCTTGTCTGTGACGTTGAAGGTTGTTGCTCTGAAGGAGCTTTACCCAGAATTGTATCAATTGAGCGAACGCTGACATACTCTTTTTTGCAAAATGGCTTAATAACACCGTGATTTTTGTTCTTGGAAACGTCAGCTTTCCCATCTATCCCTAAATACATAACATAACATACGTTGATGGTCTTAGATGCCATCCTTAGAAGAGCCATTCGCCAGGTGGGTGATGCCACACTCACTAAATCATTGACATCATTGGAACACCGTAGAAAGGTCAGCTACATTTCACTTTTCTATATGTAGATACTTCCAAGGGAAATGTTCGTCTGAAATCTCTGTTATCGTTACGTCACTAGCAAAACCAGTCAGACGAACTCGACAAGCCCATCCTTTGGTCGTCAACCTTGAAATATGTCGAACGACTCTTAACTAATACAACTCGTTTGTCTATAGAACGGCAAATATTCGGAATTCTTCGCTTTGTTGTGTGTTATTGTTCATGATGAATTTGTGTTGATAATAATCAAATTAATCCATACTAGAGGACATTTGATCTTTTTTTAATCGACAAGATTTTGGGCGTTGTCTTGTCAGTTCTCAGCATTCAGCACAGCATTGCCAAGTCTCTATTCAACATTTAAATGATGTTTCGTTATGGAGTAAAAACCTATTTTGACAAGCTGGTTGCTCGAAAAAGTAACAAATTAATAACTATAATGTTATGGCTTCCTTCTATATAGGTCAAATGAAATATTCAATTTGGATATGTAGTTTCATTCAATTACCGAGGACTGGTAACAATTTTTCAATAACTTGATTATAATTGGTGACATGACAACCTTGCTTTATGAGTGGGAATGGAAGATTATCTAACCAATAAGGAAACAGCATAAGAACTGACGTCACGATGTATTCGAAGCCATCTACGGCAAAGAAGTGTTGCAAAAGGTAATTCAGGGGGGGCAGGTAGCCGTGCGGACGAGTGTCAATATTCTAATCCGCATTCGCTTTCCGGTCGTGAGTGCGATTCCCAGCGACTGCAGAAATTTTTCTGATGGCCCAAGAAAGTGTTTGGGATCACACGTTAAAAGGTAAGGCCCCCGTCATTCCTTGCTCGCACAAGACTCTTGAAGACTTCTGAGGGTTGCTCGTAAGGGGGCAACCGAAAGAAGGATAGAACAATTTTAGAACAATTTTAGGTCTCTAACGACACAGTGCCTATTCACTACCATTCCACTAGCCCATTATCTCGAATATTCAGAACATCTCGATATTACTCATGGTAAGCTCTTCAAGTGGAAAACTCGCTCGATGAAAAGGCTTTAGGTAATTCACGTTAAACACCATTTTAATGATATGAGACATTGAACATGAATTTCATACCATTAAAAACTATGTCTGTCGTATACCTATATTTTCGAATAATTCGAGAACTTAAAAAAATGGCATTCAACGCTCCCTTACCGCCCTCTCATCCCCTACGGATCAGGACTTTTAGTATGTTGTTCATGCCACTTTCCTCTACCTCTGTACCAAAATTTGCGACTACTCGATTTTTCCCCTATTCGACCTTCTTTGGCACGTTTAACAGAAAAATGATAACCAAAATGGCATCCATATCACTGTGGCATTGGTAGTGGCATATTGTTTCTTCAAGTTACTATATTTGGGGCTTTACGGTCTTAATAACATTATTCTTAGTTGTTACTATCCTTTGTATTTGTTTATTATGGAGCTGCATACAACGAAGAAATTGATGTATTTTCAAACTTTGTGAACTCAATAGCTGATATAATATCAGCTACACATTTTTTCCACATCGGAATGAAAATCAATTATTTGAATTGGCACAGAATTATTGTAGGTATCACAAGTGAATGCGAACACAATCAAAATAAGTAATATTCGAAAAATATGTATAATTGCGAAAAATTGATCCGGAAACACATCCGAAACAGGACATGCAGCCTCTCACTCCTCGCATTCGGCGTTGACCTGAAATTTGCCTACACGTCCTGCAAATAAGATCTTTCCGGAACATTCGTAAACAATCAATTCATGAACGGTATATTTACAGTCGTACTGAACACTTTCATTTGTTCCTGTTAATGGTGAATGTGAAACTTATAATTTGTAATAGTCAGCGATACAGACATCGAACAGCTCTGTAGCATTTACATGAAACGACTGATACTTTATTATTCAGAAAAGTATTGACACTTTGCAATCAGAAATACCAACTTCAATATATCACATTCATAGAACATAACATATCATAACACCACGCCTCAATTCATGGATCCATCTGATTTCGCCTTGAAGAACTAACGAGTATCAATATCAGGTAGAATTATTGGCTTCCATGTTCCATGCTTTTCATGTGCTTCTATTTCCTGATTTATAGCTTGTATCCAGCCGCTTCCTGATATTGTAGCATCTTGAAATGTTGGAGGATCACTTGTGCAAAAGCAATATTCAGAATATAACTCGTAATCATCCAATCTTGCTGGGGTCTCATTTCACGTTATGGTCGTTGAGTTTCAACTTCTCTTTCATCGCTTTCTTCGTTCCTTCTGCTATCGTGGTTCCCCTCTTCATCACTCCTGCTCTCGTGGTCCCTCTCTTCCTCACTCCTGTTCTCATGTCATTGCTTTTCATGGAGGTTTTCTTCATGTGTTTCTTTTGTATAATAGTATTGATGTGGTTTATCTTTGTAGATAAAATTTGTTTCATCAATCGTTTTGCGAAAAATGGCGGCCATTTGGAACCGTCAGAAAAGTATGACATGGTGATTGTATTTTCTTTAGCTAAAAAATTGGGGAAATGAATGGTTTGTATCGCAATCAATTTTGATTGAAACTATCTGTAATCTAAATAATCAAACAAAACGAAATGCAATATTCTATAGTCACTACGACTTACCAGACTCCCAATATAATGTTTGGATTGGTGATCTGGATGGTGTCACCCAGATTATGGCTGGCTGTTCTCAGGGCCCTTGGGGGCCAGCCGGTGTTGAATGCAATTTGGGAGCAGTTGCAGAGTCCCGAAGGCGAACTTTGTAGAAAATACACACAAACGTTCACAATTACGTAGGCGTATTCCCAAATTTCAGGGCGAATATAGCATGCGAAAATTAATGCATGCGAAAAGATAGGTATATGAATGCGGTTGAACTCTCACTTCGTACCCGGTTCAGGAAATTCCAGAAGTTCCGCCTAGTCGTCTAGTGACATTTAAGCAAATTTACGGCGACATAGATATATTTGATAAGGATAAAACAATATTAACTATCTCTTTTGCACATGGACAGAGAATACACAACATTCTCCCCCGACAAAATGCACAACATGCAGGTGCATTTTTAAGTGAAATTAATGAATGGATCAAATGACAACAAATTTAAAAAAAAGATTTGATTCACGATAATACGAACAAACATATATGAATTATTCCCCTGTTCACTGGGAACATTAGCTATAGATCGACAATTATGAAGTGTGTAAGCAAGGAGAAGATCTATGATATCTACAAGGGGCACAACTTGACAAGTGGACGGCGCAGGCCGTCTTTACCGAAGCGACACGGGCAACTCCGTCACCACCAGGATGTAAAGAAATAATACGCCCTAACGGACAAACCATTGGAGGAGAATGATCATGTTTAATAGCTACTGATGCTCCGGTAGAAACAGGAGTTTCGTGTTTGAACCATTTATTTATTTTTTGAAGCGTGTCGAATCGAGTCAGACGACCAATGGGAGTCTCCGTCAAATCATATGCAGGAAGAGCACTGAGTACCTCAAGCGTTAAAAACTGATCTGGGATCAATGCAGAAATATCATTTGGGTCTGCAATCGTTTGAGTCAACGGCCTGGAATTCAAAATAGCTTTCACTGCACCAAAAATGTATAGCACTCTTCATATTAAAAGTTTCGACTTCCAATGATGCGGTTAATATGGGACTTAACGGATTCAATTTCGGCCTCCCGGAGGTATAGAGGTAAGTAACACGTGGCATCACCATTCGGTAGCCCCTTCGTATTTTTTAATGTAACACGCGTGCTGGACGTCCGTCTGGCGCTATCAAGTGCTACTTTACAGTAATGATATTCGCGAAACTTAATTCAGAAAAGTTTTAGGCAATTCCACAGAGACCAATAATAGGAAAGAAGCAATTTTTTTTCTTTAAGAGGGTGAAATGAAGGATAACTGTTTAGGAAAAGAAGTTTAGTTATTACAAAATTGAAAATCACCCAATCCTACATTGTTTTCCACACATCTGGCAAATTTCAGGTAATTCCTGTGATCTTCTCAATTTATCAGCCATGGCGCGTAAAAGTCGAAATTCAAAATAGTCTGTGTATCAGCTGATAGTCTTGAAAAGAATATTGGGAAATCCTTAAGCCAAATAAAAATAGAAACAAAAAACTAATTGGTCAGAGTCGAGAGGAACCCAGCGTGAAATCCGCAAAAAAATGAGCGACCTACACCCGAATCTTGTATTCTTCACGTGATACTTACTTTGTGGAATGAGGACAGATCACTTTTGTGTCTCTCTATAGATAACACATGTGGATTTGAATATGGCTAACAATAATTGCAATAATCTTGTTCTTCCTGTTTTAGTACGAAATATTTATAAATAGTTTTTTAAAAAAGACCAATTCGCGGCTAGAAGGACCATGCATTTTCTTTAGCTCAAAAAGAAGGAGAAATGAATGGATTGTACCTTATTTAATTTTAATTGAAACTATCTGTAATCTAAATGATCAAACAAAACGAATTGCGATATTCTATAGTCACTAGACGATTTACCAGACTCCCAATATAATGTTCGGATAGGAGATCTAGATGGTGTCACCCAGATTATGGCTGGCTGTTCTCAGGGCCCTTGGGGGCCAACCGGAGTTGAATGCAACTTGGGAGCTGTTGCAGAGTTCCAAAGGCAAACTTTGTAGAAAATACACACAAACGTTCACAATTACGTAGGCGTATTCCAAACCGATTTTGAGTTTACGGTGAATAGGAAAGTTCCTGAATTCCAGGGCGAATATAGCGAGCGAAAATTAATACAAATAGATAGGAAGGTATATGAATGCGGTAGAACTATCACATCGTACCCGGTTCAGGAAGTCCCAGATGTTCTTTGGTAATGGTGCGTGCGCCTAGTCGCCTAGTGACATTTAAGCAATTTTATCGCGAAATAGATGTTTGATGTGGATAAAACAATATTAGCTATCTGTTTTGCATAGGGACAGAGAATACACAACAGTGATTTACGTGAATGGCTACTGGACGATGATTACCTGAGCAAAAATTAGCCTGGTACAAATGGTTGAATTGTTTTGGGAGATATGGGAAAATACAAGAAATTTTATCGAACAAATCGTTTGACACTGGTTATATATCCGACACGTTCGATTAACGCCCACGCAATTGGGCTGCCGGTGCCATCATTTTCCTTCTTGTTGCTATGTAATTAGACCCCTCCTGAAGAACCACCATATTGGTACAAATGACCAAATATTTTGGGTCACCATCTCCCGGTCTATTGTTGTTAACGTTGTAGTGGGCAGTGAGGCAGACATTTAGAAGAACAGTAAATTCTTTCCACCATTCAGAACAAAAATTTACTTGCTGAGTATAATTCTTTTTGAGTAACAGCATTTGAAATTCTAGCAGATTTTTTTTTTCAGCTAGTATTTTCAATTTTTCACTGTGAAGCAATAGTTTTTTAGTAAAGTTGATAGGGATTTGCTTCAATGATGATAAATTCAGCTTGAATTATCAATATTCAAGACCTATAGGGCAATTTGCTATTATAGTTTGACATAGGTAATGTATAGGTTCCTATATCATAAAACTTCTGGATATTTCACCAGACATATTGACTGTGTCACTTATAGCTTCAGAGCACACTATCATTCATTATCAAACTTTGAAAAAATGTCACTGTTTTTCTGTGCTGGCGGTGCTTCCGGCGCATTGACGAGGTAGAAAACTTGGACTTTTCAATAGTATCTACCTCTATAGATACATCAGAACTACCTGCCCTTTTGCATAAATGCCTCCATGGGTTATGGAACAGTAACATAATATAACATTCTTGATATTTTCTATGTATTTTCTTTCCTGACAGGGAGATGCTAGTGCACCCCCTTGCACCCTACTATATGGCTCCCAATGGAAATTAAATTCAACAGTTTGAGACTTCTCACTTATGATTGAGTTTAAGTGACTAGAACTTAAGTTTTCTACCCAAAAGTAAAACCAGTCATATGGAATTGTTGTTTTTAATGTACTTCATGTATCATGTAGTTATTTGTTTCACCCTGTAATGTGATTTGTATCATGTTTTCTCTGAGAATGGAAAAAGAAATGACATGAAAAATAATTAATAATTTTGACAGTGAGAGAACTTTCAATTCATGAAAATAAAATAGAAAAGAAAAGGCTTCAAGAGGAATAATGAAGTGGAAATTACCATATTACCAATATGAGCAAAAATCTACTGAATTATCAAGTGATGAATATAGTAGCAACAATATCAGTAGTGCTGATGGAGGTGATTATGGAATAATCACTTGGTAAAAAACATGAAGGTTCCACAGCAGTTCCACACCATAGAGTTATTATCTAGAATAAAAACTATGTAAATTTTACTCACTGACTGACTGTCACTTGCATTTCTACTATGAAGTTATGAAATGATTCATATATGAGACCTAATAGTTCCTTTAGCCTTCAATTAATATTATTATATGTATAATAGATAATAACATATAATATCAGTTCACATTGAAGCAGCTTTGAAAAGAATAATTTCTCCTTCATGAGTCTTCTAAACAAATTATTATATTTTTATGGAATTCAAATCTCAATCTCAAGTATCACCAGTTATTTTAGAACTTACAATATATCCAGCATACTTAGGTTCCTCCTCATAGCGATCATGTAACCAGATGAACTCTTCATGCTGTCTTACTACTAGAAACTCTGGTTTCTGAAAGTGTTTCATAGTTGTTCGAGTATGGACAGTGAACTTAACTTTATCCTTTTCACTCAATGCATCAGAAATATCTACTATAAGAGAATTATCTGTAAGGGGTACATTATTAACTTCTTCTGTAGTTCGTTCAGACTGAAACAAAAATATTATAAAGAATAGTTCCCACATGGAGTTTTGAATATGTTCATTAAATGAATACGCCCCTTTTGTAAAATAAACTGAACATAATATTCATTGATAATAATTATGGTATTACCATTTTTGATGAATGCCAACTCCACTACCAAGTTCAAGACAAATATCAGAGGAACATATGATATCAACTAGATTTAGTTGCAATGGTACAATAACAACAGCTATTCTCAATTTAAATTTGGCTGTGAAGAGAATTTCTCGTATTGTTTATTAATATTGAAAATGAATATTATGTTTACTTTTCTTCCGTCACTGTCACTGATTGACTAATGAGTAATGACGATTGACCAGTTAGTCACTACTGACCAGTGTTGTTCCTAGGTCTAATTTTTTTGTACCAGATTTCCTTGAAAAAGGATACCAGATTCATGTAATTCCCGTCGAACTATCGCACGGATTAGACATTAATGACAGGAATGAGGCAAAAGTAACACAGAAATCATGAGATGAATATAGAACATAAACTATGACATAGACTCATAGAACATAACATATAATCATTCGCTGCACACAGAAATATTTTGGAGCTAACAGCAAATAGTAATAGATCCATGACAAATCGTAATAACGTAACAAGCAATGACGGCTAATAAAGCGGCGCTCACAACCAAACTTTTTACGTTTTGCTTTTTACGTTTCGTATTCTGATTGGTGAAGCAAAATCTGTAATGGAAATGACGCAAAAAGCTGAAAATATTCAGCTTTTTGCGTTGCAAGAAGCCATCGTCTGTGGAAATAGTAAAAATAGACGAATAATATGAAACATTCTGTAATAATATGGAAGTTATGATGATGTTTTCATGATTTTTTCGTGAATCCACAGAATAGTATATAGGTATATACTGTTCAATTCATTATTTTCTTGTTGAAGATTGATTTTTCTCTTCAAGTATTGAATGAGGATCAATTTTCATCACCGCCAGTTCTATCAATTCAATATTATTAATTATCTGATCAATATTATTGTTATGATTATTCACTTCATTTCAGGATGAAAAACAAATAACAAAACCAAGGCAACTGAGCCATAAAATGTCACGATTTTTTGTTGTTGTGAATGACATTTTCTCACGTTTAATTTCAGATTCTGCTTCACCAATCAGAATACGAAACGTAAAAAGCAAAACGTGAAAAGTTTGGCTGTGAACCCCGCTTAAATGGACTGTCTGACGAGTACTACCCGTCAGACAGTCCATTTAGCCGTCATTGTAACAAGTAACAACTTTCGTGAAATAGTAATAGATCTATTACAAAAGTAATGACAAGAACAACACTGCAAGCAATGAGTAAACAACAAGTGACAAGTTGACAACCAGTGACTACAGGCCAAGGATAATCCTTGACTACAGACAGGCACTATCTTTTGTACTAACCAGTACTAACACTTTCGTATGTAATTTATTGAGTAATTTACACATATATCTACTATTTCTATATATGGCGCATCGCCTATACGATATCTCAACAAAAATGAGACCAAAATGAGAGATACACCTTTTGAATCTATAAGGACAGAAAGTGAAGGATGGAAACAGAGCGATATTGGTTTGAAAATTTTCGTATTATTTTTCCCCTACGTCGGCATCAACGCCTATTGGTCGATTTCGTGAGGTTGGTCCCGCTTTGAGGACAGCTATGCTTCATATATGAGTAGTAGATATATGAATTCACACCTGTTCACACCGTATTTGAGCATTCTTTTGAAGTGCGTTTCGCACTGTGGTTCCACACCAGTGTAGTTTATTCTTTATTTCCACCTGTCTTGGACAGGTGTGAATTACACTCAAATTCAAGAATGAATTAAATCTGTCTGTAGGTTAATCGAGGAAGCATTTTACTTGATTATTTGGGATTTTCTCTCCTCGTTTCTATTAAATACAAATGTATCATTTCAATATATGTGTAGTAGGACAAAAATCAGATGATTTGCCCCAACATATCATTGTGTTTGATAAATTTTTCTATCAGGGAGCCTAAAAGAAAAATCCAATAGCTTGTCAGTTACACTTTGTTTGGAATAATGTTTGAAGAGAAGAAATATAGCAGATATATTGAAAAAATATCGAATTTTTACTCATCTTTCAACTTTTCGGGAACGAGTCTGCTCCCGTTCGCAAAATGAAAATGCAAAATATTTTTCGAAAATGTTCTTCTTGTAGTTTGACACCTCTTATAGTGACATATGCCAAAATCAGTATGTCACTGAGAGGTGTCAAACTATAAGAACAGTAGCAGATTCTTTCCCGAAACGTCCATACGTTGATTGATATATTACGCTTACGCTAAGCGTAATATATCAATCAACGGTCCATAGATGAGTAAAAATTCCATCTCTTTTCAATATGTATGTCGGCGTCAAACAGTGGAATTCGCATATACCTACTTCGTCATTCTCTGGAATGCCTAGTCTTTTCATGTATTGCCGACAAACAGCGTAACTCTAAATTCCGTACTCCGTTTGCCTAATAGTTTCAGGCATTCCCTGTAATGACGGTAGGAAGGTTCATTTAGGCCGAGTCAGCTTATAGGTTGCTTAGAAGCAGTTATCTTTTCTGTTCTCTCAAGTAATCTTCTGAAAAATATACTTTCTAGGAAGTAGGTTCCTTTAGGTTCTTATGCATATGCAGAGAGGACATTTTCCTTCCTCAACCCTCCGGCAAACAGAGTAACGGCTGAAAATGGAAGTTAAGCTGTTACGCTGTTTGCCGACAATACGTAAAATGATGAGGCATTTCAGGGAATGACAGATTTCACTAATTGACGCCGACATAATATTTCTTCTCTTCAGGCATTTTTGCAAACAAAGTGTCACTGACAAGCTATTGGATTTTTCTTTTAGGCTCCCTGACGCAGTGACATTCTGGGGCAAATCATGATTTGTCCTACTGCATATATTATATTGGAATAATACTCAAATTTTACTTTATAGAAACGAGGAGAGAAAATCCCAAACGAACAGGCCTCTTACTCTAATGAATCCAATCTACTTGCCTTAGAAGCTCCACGAGTATTATTATTAGCTCCTATAGCAGAAGGAATCTCAATGAGAAATGACGAAATTTTAAAATGAAAACTATATGTGATGAACTGTGATGACTTTAAATCACAATGAACCTACCTAAAAAATCGGATTCCTTCTTATCTCGCTGCATTTTTTGTGCATTGTATAACAGCACAATGCGATAGCATGCTTGAATTAATGAATAGCCGAAAAGCACGTATGCCAAAATAATTGCGAAAAACTATTTTCTCTACAAACGTCAAAAAATGACAAAACAATGCGCGAAGTACCTACTTCCTCAATCGAGCAAACATCCACGAAATCATTTATTTCTGAATGTTCAACAATAACTTTTTTTTTCTCTTGGAGCGCACGAAAGGAAATTCCTATTATGTCCGTGGAACATCGTGCGTACCTATGAGCATATTTTCACTTCATAACATAACTATATTTTTTGACGTTTGTAGAAAAAATGTTGTTTGCAGCCCGAGCGCGAAATACTTTGGTCATCTCAACTATTTTTTTAGTAGTAGGATTTCGCGCTCTAGATACAAAATTAACTATTAATCCTTTGTAAACAAATAAGAAAAGTAAGGTTGTGTTTCAATGTTTTACCTCCAGGGTCGGTCATATGACAGATCAAGGGCAGATCTTCCTCAGGCTCAAAATCGTTTGTAGTGTACTATGTACTAGTGTAGTTAGTTATGTCACGATTGTCACGTCGAGTCGTCGAGTTTCTAACTTCCTATCTTCCTAACCTATGAGTGTAGTTAGTTATGTCACGATTGTCATGTCGAGTCGTCGAGTTTCTAACTTCCTAACCTATGAAAACCAACTGTCTCTGCCTCTGCCACAAAAACAAATACAGACAAAAGCATGACAGAAGCGACCTGAGAATAAAAGACAAGAGTAAAAAGAGTTTAGAGTTTACCAAAAATACTTACTCATAGTGGTTATCATAAATAATATCAAATATCAATATATCAGCCCCAGCCCATTAGCAACTTTGTCCTGAGCACGAGTCTCCTTTATCTATATCTAATGAAGTTCTTATGTGAAAAAGTTATCAAACTATCAAGAAATAATCGCCCTTATTCAGTGAAAAGTCCCAACGTTCCTTGGAATGTATTATTTTTTGGAACAGATAAATTTTCCCTATACAGCCTGGAATCACTCAATAGGGAGAGGTAAGGTTATTGGTTATTCTGATCCTTTGGTATTTATGTAGGTGTGGATTATGCACTAATCAATTATTATTATTATTATACAGTATGTCAAAATAATAAGGAAGTGTATAGACTGCCGACCAGTCGGCAATCTATACTTTTTTTTAGGCTGCCGATCGTTCAGCAGACTATACTCTTTATTTAGGATAGGGATCAGTAGACTAATTATCAATATCAAGGAAGAAAAACATGATTTGAAAAAATGATATATAAGTACTTACACATGGTGGAACATGATCCTGATCAAAAAATCTTGTGAACTAACAATGGAGGAAGGAAAAACTATACTAGAAAAAGATGAAATATAAAGTGATGTATACTCAACCCAAACAGACTAAGATTGATTGAAAAAAAAAATGGAAAAAAACTATTCCATATGGGATTTGAACATGGGACCACAAGTCAATGTCTAACCACTGAGCTACTAACCATCTTGGATCTCTTTGTTATACTCGAAGAATGTATCCCACAGTCTAGAGAAAAAGTATAGTTTGTCCACTGGTCGGCAGCCTAAATAGTAAAGTACCTTTACACATGACCGGGCATAAAGTGGCACTTTATCGCCCAGATTCGCGGCGTAAAGTAGCTGGTTAAATGTCCAAAACGGTTGTGCATGTATTTTGGGTATAACTTGCTTTTATGGACCTAGGCATGTTCATTACCCTTGCTATCCCTCTTGCTGTTGTCCAAAAGCCTACTTTATGCTGTTGATGAATAAATAACTTGTTTTCAACAATAATATCAAAAACTATTAAGAAATGTTAAAATTGAAAACTGTTCAAATATTCAATTACATTCACATCTTTCTAAGAAGAAAGTGAGGTTTTATTATATTTTACAATTTAAGATCCATTCATATGGATTGATTGTTTACAAGGAAATTGGGTTTTATATTCAAATAAATGTGACAAAATCAAATAAATAATAGCAGATAACTTATTATAGATATGTATTCATTTTGAAGAATTGATTATGAAACAGAGAGCAAACCGAAATATCACTTTGTTTTCTTTCATATTAAGTATGCCTTTGTCATTTTTATTTTTGTTCAAAAACATACATACATTATGTTTGAAGTCAATAAAGCTTCTATAAAAAGTATGTTAGTAGCTGACTACCTTAACTAAACAACACAAATACTGACAAATTTAAGGATTTCCCAGGATTTCCTAGTAGGTCCACAGAACTCACAAAACAATAAGCCAGGAGCATCAATATAACTTTTCTGGTGCCAACATATTTTCCAAATTTAGTCAACTTTTCTAGATAATAATTTTCAATTATTATAATTATTAAAATATATGAGAAGTATTCAGATGTGTCCAATCATATGAAATTGTTATTACTTCATTTTTGTTGAGGTTGTCTTACTATTATGTGAAAGCTATACATTCAAATTACGTTTTTCTTACTGTGCATTTTTCCTTCTATGCCTAATGAGCTACTCACTGAGGCTGTGTATGGTGTGTTATTACCTTTTCTACAGTGGTCATAGGTAAAAGAGTTTTACGCTCCATTTGTTGCCAACTCTTTAAAAAATATGGTGTATTATTAAATATATCAGCAAATATATCATATTGGCCAGATTATTTTCTTCTGGTAGTAGACATATATATTTTTTTCAGAATGAATGGAAGCATATTGAATGGAATAGAAATAGTTACTACATGCAAAGGAAAATCCAACCCAGTCAAGAAATATGCTGTACAAAATGAACTTGTCATTCATTCTTGGCCATTTACTGTACCAAAAAATGTTTATGATGTTGGATTAGTTGTTTCATTTGGTCACTTGATCCCAGAATCTGTTATAGCAAGATTTCCACTGTAAGTACTTTTGGAATAGCCAATATTCATCTCATCAGATATTGAAATATTGAGTACTGGCTTCCAATCCATCTACCGGAGGATCTACCTATGTACAGGGTGTTCCAGGTTTGACTGGTTCACTGGTACTGATAGAAGTGGGGTACATTTGCACATCAGCAACTAGTCCCGAATGTCTTCTCAGCCACCTCTAATTGTTAGATTGGATAGATGATACATGTTATAATAACAATAATAATGATAGTTCTTTATTGAACAACAATGTTCAAATGGCTATTGACCGAAGCCCTTTTGCTAACTAACTCTCTAAAAAGCATCAAGCATTAAGGCACTCTAGTTTTAACAAACTCAATCACATTTTGAGGTAATATTGAATGTGTGTTGTTACATTGTATTCAACATTTTATTCAATTACTCAAGAACTAAGATAAATGTTTCATTACCTTTAATTCACCAGTGGGGTTTAGATAAAATCAGAAGGATTTAATGAAAGATTACATACTCAATGAATATAACACTGTATACCAGCTTATGATTGGTTGTTGATCCTTTCTCTCTTTCACATTACTTTCAATATTTTGTACAAGATGGTAAAGAAAAAGCAGTAGTTTTATATCAACAGATCTTTGGAGTAAACTAGAATACTTGTGACTGATGGTTCTACTTCATTGAAAGAATTGTTCGAGCACTAATACCTACCTAGTTGTCACAAATAAATGGTCAAAAAATATCAAGTTGTCTTCAAAAACTATAAAAAATAAAAATATTTTGAGTCGTCTCAATTTCAGAATAGGTAAGCCACAACTGGTTTGTGTAAATTTCCAGTGGAATGCTGAATGTTCATGCCAGTTTGCTTCCAAGATGGAGGGGTGCAGCACCTATCATCTATGCTTTAGCTAATGGTGATTCAGAGACTGGTGTCACAGTAATGAGGATAAAACCAGATCACTTCGATATAGGAGATATAGTCATGCAGAAAAAAATTTCTATTTCACAGGATACTCAAATGCCTCAGTTACACAAGGAATTGGGTCATTTAGGAGCTGACTGTTTGATCAGCACCCTTAGAAATTTACCAAATCTATTAGAGAATGCTGTACCCCAACCAAATACTGGTGTAACATTTGGTGAGTTGTTGTGCAATATATTATACAATATCCCGTGCTGGGCTGCCGTCGGCGTATAGCCATTCCTAAGTATAACACAGAACTCACCATCCGATATAGTGCTCCAAAGCGCACTGAATTTCACGCCGACACAACAAACCCCAGTATGTTTCAGAGCAATAATAGTCATAATACGCAGATTGTCATACCTATAAGCTACAAAGCTTCACGTCATTTTCATCAACTGTCTTGAAATCATTCAGCAAGCAATTCATTTGAATTAATTTCCATCAATCTACATCTGCTTTGTTTTTAACGCGCGAAAAGTTTGTAGTTCAAGTCGTAGACGAGGATATCGGTTCGCAAGTTTGGAATATATGTTGTACACTATACTCTTTCTCTTACAATATTTCAGAAATAAAAAACAAAATAGCATAAAGTTAAACTCAATAATACATTATACTTGTTCTTTGACGTTATCGCAGTTTCCGAAGTTACCTGACTTCTTTATAATTCTATAGCATGGAAAAGATAGCATATCTTGTGCGGTTTGAAATGATTCTTAACTACTTGCTGAATCATTTCAATACAGCTAATGATCGAAATTACATTTCACAGTATTCCGCACCCAGCAAAGTCCTCCTATTAGTCCTATTCCAATGAGAACTACTGTTGTGTGTAAACAAATGTAATCACCTATTCACTGCTCTGAAATGCACTGGGGTTGTTATGCTGTCCCGAAATGAATCATTAACAAAGTCCAGTGCGTACAGGGGAATGGCTATACGCCGCCGGGACGTATTCCGGTAAGCCCCCCTTCCTGGAAATTTTTGGCGACCTCCTGTTTTGAAACTGACAAATTTAGTGAACAATAAATTGTCATTTTGTCAAATACCGGTACGATATGTATAAGTTGATGGTCAGTACCGTGACCAGATGCCAGAAAAGCATATTCAACCCAGCGCTAAAAAAGCAATTGTTAGGAATAGGAAGGAGAGATGCTTGTAGTGTCAAGTATCTGACTTGACTGGCCACCGCAACCGCAAAGTATAGGACAGTAATTTATTTATTCAGAATTATTATTAAAATGAAAAAGAGTCAATATTTCTATTGTAGATAAAGTGGATTTGGAGCTAAAAAGTCGTTCAAAATGCTTATTTAGAGTTTGAAATTCCAAATTTATTTATTACATTCCACACCCCCTGCATAGAGCTGGCCGTCCACCGGCATAAGACGAGATCCCGCACCGGCCTGGGTCTTATGAATGCTGTCTGGTGACTACCCTTCACTGATGAGGACCAAAAGACCGAAACCAGTCATAGGTGTCAAGTGTTATTCTAGCTACAATCTAAAAATATTTCGGCATTTAGGATAGAAACACTTGCATCAGTATTCATTCATACGAATCCATGCATACGTTTCGGGAGGACGTCATTCAAAGTATTTCTTTCCCGTTATCTACCATTGTTGTTCATTTTTTAACCTTAATGGAAAATCTCGTTTTTTCACACCCTATATCTCATTAATCATTTCCCTTAAACCTGAAGTGTGATAGATCGATTGAATCAGCTCACAAGGGAGAATCTCAAAATAAAATAAAATGCAGGGTGTCCTATAAGAAAAGTATAACTTTGATATGCTTTGATACGCCAAGCATTTTTGAGGCACCCTGTAAGTATGAAAATATTTTAGAAATATGCTGCTCTTGAGCCTTGACCATCTTAAAAATGTGTTTATCTATTTCAAACAGCGAAGCCGTTATCTTACTTTGCCACCCTGTATAAACAATATAAATAGTATTTATTTCCATTCATTTTTAGCACCGAAAATAATGCCAGAGTTTGCGGTAGTTGATTGGAACAGCATGACATCCAACCAGGTGTACAATTTGTATAGATCATTGAAAGGGTTACAGTCACCAACAACTTCCTGGAGTGGTCTACAGATGAAACTGACAGATCTTGAAGACTGTGGTCATTGTGGTGTACTCGAAGATTGTGAGATGAGTCCAGGTTATGTGAAATATGATAAAACAAACAGAACTTTGATAGTAACATGTGCAAGTCATAGTCATATTAGAGTGAGACAGGTTCAAGTACATGGTCGAAAAGTGATGAGTGCTACTGATTTCAATAATGGGTTTGTAATGAAAGAGTTAGCAAGTAAAAGGTATTTTAAGTACATTGATTGTATTAGTTACCTACGTACATGTTTTTCTACAACCCTCTAAGAAGGTGCACATGAAAATTGAAGAAAGTAGATGTGAAAACATATTCTAAACACATGTTAAAACTGATCAAAAATCTAAGGATATTTTTGAACGCAATGGACAAACATTTCTTATTTGGAAAATTTTTGAAACTTGTATTTTGCTGCTTTCAAGTTGGGAACCAACTCCCTAGAAGTCGAAACTTGTGCGGGGTTAGGAAGAGCGCGACCTTATATGAATGAATTCGAGCGTAGGGGAGCAATTATTATTCAAAATACGAATGTTTTGAAAGTTTTCACGATTAGCGTGCAATAACTGTAGATTTTACGACAAAAATGAGAAAAAAAGGTTCAAATGAATGTGTGGTCGAAAAATGGCTCCGATAGGAGTCAGGGTCATGTGACTTTTGCTATAAACTGTGCCCAAGAAAAGGAGGGCAAGTATGGGCATATCGGGAACTACCAGAGATAAAGATTTGGTTAAATGGGAGAAAAGTTGCGCGAGTGAAGGACCATCAAAATGAAATTTGAAAATCTGATGACTTTTTTTTTAGTTATTCTCAAAAAACTGAATTTACTCAGAAAATTTATGAAGCCATATTGAATAGCATCAAAAACTGCCATGAAGATGTTTTTTTCAGTTTTGTCATAACTTTATTATTACCGCTAGAAAAAAAAATTGAAGATCCGGAAATTCTCTTTTTTGGAAATAACTCACGAACGCTCACGAACGAAGAATCATATTAGAGATTTTTGAAAGACATTTAACTTCAGACACTTAAACTATTTTTGATTGTTATTTATTGGAGGGCAAAATGTATACGCGAGTGATTGACTGGGACTTGGTTTATAAATTAGGTATGTGGCAAAGTTATTTTAAAAATAATCATTTAATCCTTTCAAATAACTCCCAACATGAACTTGTATCTTATAGACTAGTTTCTTGAACAAAAAAATACATTTCTCACCAAATAAATTTTCGAGTGATGTGAGGAATTGAAGGTTCATAATTGCTAAACAACATACCTTCCTGTTTACTAATACAATGAATATCACATCAGAAATTCAGAACTAAGGATCAATATATCAATGAAATGACTTTTTTTTATATAGACAGGTGTTGGTATCTTTCCTGTTATTGACAATTATGTTTGATTTCATAGACAAAGCTGAAAAAGCTTTATAGTATTGTCTAGGAGTAGCAGAAATTGATCGAAAATAATTTTTTGTTATGATAGGGGGTAACACTAAATGATCAGGATCCTCGCGATCAAGTGATCTTGGTAAAATGTTCCACGGCTTCTTGTTTACATTATCACTTGGCAACTTCCTGCTTTCAATGATTGGTAGTGAATCACGTTCTAGAGGAAAGTTGAAAATCGGTAAATGCTTGGTTGACATACATTTTTCAGAATGCTTCCTTCTGGTTATGTTGCTCTTCTTTCCACATATCTCCATATCCTTTTCAGTATCCAATATATATCCATCATTGGATACTGCTGTTATTTTCTTGTATTCAGCTCCGTGTGATTTTTCGTGTATTTTTCTCTCACAGCCTTTTGGAGAATTGTTTACATCACAGCCTTTTCTTAATAACCTATGTATCATAAGGTTTGGGTTGCCATTTTCTTGTCTGAACAGAGGCGAATTCACTGGTGTTTCACATCTGTCTAATACACTGAAAAAAAAAAGGTGGTTGCTCTTTCATATTGAAGAAAAAGCTATCGAAAAAAAGGTAGGAAAATCATAAGAGAATATTGAATCTGAAGAAACAAATCTGTGGAAGTAATGATAACCACACGACGAGTAGAGAATTGGTTTCGGAATGGATATAGTAAATCTACACCTACGATTTGCTGGAACTATTCAAAAAATTTCAGTTAGGAGCTCTAGAACTCTATCAAATCTACTGAGAACTAAAAAAAATAAGTTCTCAAAAAAAAAGACGCCAACTTCACATAAGTAACGTTTGATATCAATGGAAATTGAAATACATGGTATATCTTGAAGTTGAACAGGAAAACAGTATCGCAAATTAACTCATAGCAAACAACGAGGATATGAGCCAGGACTATTCTGAAATACAATTGACTTTTTCTGAAATTCAAATGACAATAGGCGAGTGGACAATTTTTTTTATTCCTTAAATAGAATCATCACTCAAATACCTTTCAATTTCATATTTTTTTATAATTGTTTGGTCGATTTTAAGGTTCTGAAATCATCAATAATGCTAGGGTAATTTTTAAACGGCTAGAAATTTACCGGGAGTAAAAACTGACGTCTCGATTTCGTGAGTAGGGGCAGACCATAGCACAGTTGCCATATGTTGAAATACGATTGGGGACTTCAGAAATATTAGTTATTCAATAATTCATAAATTCGCAATTATGTATAGGTAATATTCCTAATTAGTAATAAAAAAACAATTGTCTCAAAATTGTCCCTTATATGTTGTGGCTTATTGCTTATAACACATTTGTGTAAAAAATAATTATATTAATCCACACTAGAGGACATTCGAACTGGTGAACATGACAACACGGCGCACGAATTACGGTGGTGTCTCAGCATTCAGAAAAATGTTGCCAAACCCCCAACATTCACATTACACATCAACTATAATATCATGGTTTCCTCCTATTATGTTTTATTCAACGACAGGACCCCAACTTCTTTTTGATAACTTGATTGTGATTGGTGACTTGGCAACTTTGCATCATGAGCGGGAATGGAACATTATCTGACCAATAACGAAACAGCATGAAAGCTGGCGTCACCATTTATTCGGCGTATCGCTGAACATGGCCAAATTGCGACCATGACGGTACGTTTGAAATGAGCGCTGAAATTCAACGATTTTGAACAACGCATAGAAAAATTATTTACATATAAATAGCTTGAAATTGATTTAGGTCCCCAACGACACAGTGGAGTAACTGAATGCTAATAATTCATCATCAGTCCACTCGCCCAATATAAAATAGGTACGATTTACGCTCTCTGAAATACAAGTGTCTATTTTTAAATACAATTGATGCTTTCTGAAATCCAAGTGACTATTCTGAAATACAATTGACGCTTTCTGAAATTGAATTGACTATTTTGAAATACAATTGACGCTTTCTGATTTATAACCTGGAAAAGGTGTATTTAAGGTTATTATTTTGTTTGATATAGTTTGGAAGCATATTATAGAACCTTAAGCACTGATAAAACAACCTTTCTCGAAAAGGGATGTCTCATATGTAGTGGAAATGAAAATGTTTCTTTCCGTCTCATATTGTGAGAATGACCAGGTGAGACAGACTCATGGTCTCCTTTGGGTTTCTAGCTATATTTCTGAAATTTGGCACGCCAAATATGCTCACTAGAGGGCACTTCTTCACATTTAAGGAATTTTGTTATCTTCCAGTTTTCCTGGAAATGACATCAACTTTCGATTTTCAAATGGTATTTTATTCCATAATCGGTTAGAGATTATTATGACGAATATACCGGATTTGATTGGGTTATTTCAAACGATTACGAAGATATTCACGTTCAAATTTTCCATAAATTCAATGGGTGTGACGGCGTAATATCGAAACTTATTTCTCTGTCACACTCATTGAGTTTATGGAAATAGCGTGAATATCTTCGTAATCGTTTGAAATATCCCAATCAAACCCGGTATTGTTGAATTCATAATAATAATCTCAAACCGATTATGGAATAAAATACAGGGTATTTCCTTTGCAAATCAAAAGTTCATGTCATTTCCAGGAGAACCGGAAGATGAAACAAATTTCCTAAAACGTGAGAAAGTGCCCTCTATTGATCATATTCGATGTTTAAAATTTCAGAAATATAGCTAGAAAAACAAAGGAGAAACTCACTAAGCAAAGTTGAAAGCTATGTTGATGCAATGTTGAAGCAAATACTGAAACAGACGTTCAGCAATATTGAAAAGTTGAAGTTTGATGATGTAGCGTTGCAGCAGTATTACATGTTGCTGTGACATTGCTGGAACGATACATTTACAAATTTACATTTGCAATATTGCTGAAAGTCCGTTTCAGTAATTACTACAACCTTGCATCAACATAGCTTCCAAATTTGCTTAGTGGGAGGGGGGTATACCATGAGTCAGTGTCACTCGGTATATTCAATGATTCCTTGTTACGGGAAAACATTCCTATCTCCTGACTTAGATTGAAAGTTAGACATGTTTTCCCGTAGCTTTTATGTCATCGCAACTTCGGATGATGACCTTGGCATACATCTATGCCTTGGCTACCGCGAATACAAAACTGACACATTCAAGGATAAATGCACCAGGCAATGTCAAAAGATCAAATTTTTTGAAATAACAAATAGCCGCGACAACATTCTAAGGTTTTTAAATTGGCTAGAATATGAATTGATATTTTTTTAATGACAAATACTTCTTGACTGTGTGAACCACCTCAAAAGATCAAACCATTAAACACATGATTGGATAGAAATGTCCAAAGTAAGCTGCCATGAACGCATTGTGATTTACAACTGTCCTAAGTGCTTTCAGAGCATAATCAACCTTAAAGAGTCTACAACAGCAGTAATACATGATATACCATCCCATTATATTTATCAATAATGGTAACGCCAAGAAATTTCGAAGAGTTAGCATATGAAAGAGCACTATTATTCAAATTCATAGTGGAAGGAGAAGATGGTGTGCCTAGGCGCATATTATGTGACTTCATCTGGAATACCAATGACAACTGCTAGTCAAAGACAGATATAGTTGCCTGCGTTATGAATTCAATCAAGTTTATTGAAATATCTATGAGATTCTCGATCTGTCTAGAAATAATTCAATTTATATAAATAGGTACCTATATTCCTCTGATTTTACTATTTCATCAATACTGGATTTGTTATCTTGCAGTAATTGGCAATCGCCAATAGCAAATACATACGAATTATTCGCCATTGTGTCAATTCTGATAAATTCAAATTCAGAAGTTGACGTTGCTTATGCTTTGACATCGACAACAGGAGTATATTTTTTTGCCGTTTTGTTATTCAAATCTATGCTGCCATTCATATGTTTTTGAATCAATTTTCATTTATTTCTAACTTGATATTCCACGGAAGATGTTCTGTAGGAATGACTTCTTTTCTTGTTTCAAATATTTGTATATTTGTGGTTTATTGGAGGTGTGTAATTCAACAACTACTGTACATTCAACTTTGTTCAAAAAAGTTTTGCATGGAAATGTTGGGAACAAATACGTACTGGAATATAAATGTGATAAAATGATAGGTAAATACTTTGGAATGGGGATATAAGGAAT